CAACACATCAGAAGATGCAGAAACAACTCCAGACAAACTGAGCCATTTTATTTTTGACAAAAGTGCCAAACACATTCACTGAAAGAAACATAGCCTGTTTAATAAATGGTGCTGGAAAAAATGGCTCTGCACATGCCAAGGATTAAAATTGGACCCATAGGGGCTGGGGATTTAGCTCAGCGGCATAAGCACCTGCCTTGCAAGCAGGCAGTCGTGAGTTCGATCCCTGGTACTGATAAAAACAAAAAAGACAAAAAAAAAAAAAAAAACAAAAAATTGGACCCATAGCTTTCACCATGCACTAAACTAAATTCGAAATGGATCAAAGATCTAAATATTAAAATAGAAAACATTAGATCTATTGGAAAATAGCCAAAACGCTTGAAGATACTGGTGTAGGCAAAACCTGATACGCAGGAACTATCACAAAGAATCAACAACTGGGATCTCATCTCATTGAAAAGCTTTTGCAAACCAGGCATGGTTGTGCATGCCTATAATCCCAGCACTAAGGAGGTTGAGGTGGGAGGATCATTGCAAACTTCAGACCAGCCTGGGCTACAAAGTGAGCTCAAGGCCTCCCTGAACTGCATAGTCAGACCCTGTCTCAAAAAGACCAGTAAAAAAATAAGTAAAACTATAAGAGCTTTTGCACAGCAAGAGAAACCACCTACAGAGAGAAGACACATGATCCACAATGTGGGGAAAATTGTTTGCCAACTGTTCCTCAGGGAAAGAATTACCATCGAGAACATATGAAGAACTCAAAAGAATCAAACATGTCAAATTTAAATACTCATTGCAAAAATGGGTATTTGAGATGACTATATACTTCTCAGATGAAGATATACAATCAGCAAGTAACTATATTAAAAAATGTTCAACTTCACTGGTAATTTGAGAGATAAAAAGTAAAACAACATTGAGATTACATCTGACTACATAAAGAATGGTTATCATCAAGAAATCAGCCAATAACAAATGCTACGGTGGTTGTGGGGAAAATCTTCTCCACTGTTGGTGGCAGTGTAGACTTTGAAGATCAGTCTGGAGATTACTCAAAAACTAAGATTACAGGTTTCATTCGACAAAGCTATTCCTCTTCTGGGTATCTTCCCAGAATTAAAAACATTATACCACAGTGATATATGTGCAGCCATATTTGATTGGCTGACTGATTGACTTTTTGAGACAATCTTTTTTTTTTTTTTGTCTTTTTCCTTTTTATCAGTATCGGGAATCAAACTCACGACTGCCTGCTTGCAAGGCAGGCGCTTATGCCACTGAGCTAAATGCCCAGCCCCTGAGACAATCTTAAGGTTGGATAATTACTACAAGTGTGAGACCAGACTGAGATACACAGTGAGTTCAAGGCCAGCCTGAACCACACAGTGATTTTATCTCTAAACAAAAATTAAGGTGGGGGAGGGGTTGAGAACAAAAGACTTGAAGAGATATTTTTCCAAGATAGATGTACAAGTTACCAATAAACACATGAAAAATTATGCTTTATAGCTTTAGTCATTTACATCATGCACTGTGAATTTTTTTTTTTTTTTTTGGTACTGGGGATCAAACTCATGACTTGCACTTGCCAGGCAGGAGCTTTTGATACTAAGCTATATCCCCAGCCCCATTTATTTATTTAATTTTTTGATGGGGTCTTGCTTTGCAATTCAGGCTGGCCTTGAACTCACGTTGTAATGTAGGCTGGTGTGGAACTCATGGCAATCTTCCTGACAGCCTCCCAAGTACTGGGATGACAGGTGTACACCATCACATCGGGCTCTGCAACTCTGTTTTATTTGTGCAGTACTTGAGACTGAATTTAGGATCTTTCCCTTTAGCTACATCTCCCTCAACCCAATTTTTTTTTTAAATTTTGAGACATTTTTTGTTTAAATTGCTAAATTACTCAGGCTATGTTTGAACTTATGTCCTACTGCCTCAGCGTCCAATAAATTTTGGATAACAGGTGTGTACTACCACACTCAGTACAAACTGTCAATCAAAACCAGGATGATATTTCAGTTCACATTCAAGAGAGCTATTTATTTAGAGACAGAGACAGAGAGAGGGAGAGAATAACAAGTATTGGAAAGGATGTGGTATATTTTTTTGCTTGGGGACGTAAAATGGTGTATAAAAATAGTTTGGTAGTTATTCAAAATGCCAAATATAGAAATGCAGAATGAACATGTGATCTAGAATTCCATTCTAGGTATAGTCTATACTAAAAACAGTTTTGTTTTTTTTTTTTAATCGCTACCGGGGATCGAACTCACCACTGCCTGCCACTAAAAACAGTTTCAATAAAAATTACATGAACGTTCTGCAGAGGAGGAAAACTGTCTTTTAGTTAGATTATACTTCTTTTTTTTTCTTCCTTCCTTTTTCTTTTTTCTTTTTAAGACAGGGTCTCACTGTGTAGTGCAGACTGGCCTTGAACTCACTTTGAAGTCTAGGCTGGCCTCAAACAGCAATCCTCCTGCCTCAGTCTCCTGAGTGCTGGGATTACAGGTATTCATCATCACACCCAGTTTGCATTTTTATTTTTGTTTTGTGCTGGGTTTTTTGTTGTGGTTTTGATTTTTCGAGACAAGGACTCACTATGTATTTCAGGCTGGCCTTGAACTCACCGTTTTGCCCCGGCTGGCCTTACACTCTAGCAATCCTCCTGCCCCAACCTACCAAGTGCTGGGGTTATAGGTGTTCCCCTTTTCACCAGGCTACATCCTTGGTCTTTTATTTATTTTTAACTTTTGAACCAGGATCTCACTAAGCTGTCCAGCTTGCTTTGAAAATGTGATTTTCCTGCCTCTACCTACCACAGTGCTGGGATTACAGAGATTTCCCAATATATCTGGCTCAAGATAGTATAATTTACCAAATTGCTATAAACCATAGGTAGTTTAATAGTAAAAAGATTTTCCTTAAATCTGGAAAAACTGCCAAACATATACCCGAATTTTCAATATTCCCAATACTTGCAAGTCTAAAGCAAGATGATCAGTGAGTTTGAGTCTAGCATGAAGTACATTGCAAGTTTAAGCTCAGCTTGCGTTAGAGACCCTGTCTAAAAAGAAAAAAAAATCAATGAACTAAAACACACACACATATCATATGATTGTATTTAACATGAAATGTTTAGACAGAAGCTAAGTATGGTGGTATGTGTCTGAAATCCTAACACCTGGGAAGCTCAACCAGGAAGACCTCTTTAAACTGGGGCCAGCCTTTGAACATAGGTAAGTTCAAGGCTGGTTTGAACTACTGTATGTAGTAATGAGACATGAGATTAGGGTGTTTCAAATTGGAGGTCCAAGTGGCATGACCTATCAATCATGGCCAAGACTCTTGCTCAGAATTTTCTAAACCCTGACCTGAACACCAGAAAATGCTACCTTAGAAGATCAAATAGGTTGGAATGGATTGAAGTTCATAAAAAAAAAAATCAAATAGGGTTTTGACAGGCACACTATATCTGATAGCAGTATAAAAAAAGATAGGGTGTGGTGACACAGGTTTGTAATCTCGGTACCAGGAGGCTAAGCCAGGAGGATTACTACAAATTTGAGGCCAGTCTGGCTTACATTAGTACATTCAAGCCATATAAACTACATAAGGACACTGTGAGACTGTTTCCAAAAAAAAAAGAAAAAGATTGGCCACCTGTTTCCAAGTGACCTGCTCTGCACACAGAGCAGGTATTATTTTTCCACCACCACTCTGTAGAGCATTTTTTCCCCCTATTTTTTCCATTAAATATAAAATGTCTATGTTGTCTTGTTCAATTCTTTTTTTTGTGTGTGTGTGTGTTTTTCCTTTTCATCGGTACTGGGGATTGAACTCACGACTGCCTGCTCGCAAGGCAGGCGCTTATGTCGCTGAGCTAAATCCCCAGCTATTTTTTTTTTCTTTTTGTCTTGTTCAATTCTTTAAACAGCCCAGAAGTAATCCTTAAGAACCCCATAACTTAGTTATGATGAGACCCTGTCAAAAAAACAAAAATGTCTATGATAGGGAAAAACCATTAGTCATACCCAATGTTTAGGTTACAGGGGATTGGAGGGTGTGTTGATTAGTTTTTTTCTTGTTGTTGTTCTTGCTGATACCCTAATACTCAGCTGCTCCAAGGCAGAGTGGCAAATGGCAGAGGGCAATAGTTCATGGCAGTGGAAGACAACAAAACAAGAACAAAAAAGAGAGGCAACCCACCTAGGGCGAATATAGCACTCAGGCCCATAATCTCAGCATTGAACCACGAATCAACAACAAATTCTAGAAGCCTGCTCCTATGACTTTATGGGACTTGGGGGGACATCCAGACCCAAACCATAACAGGTGACTGCTTAAAAGGTTTAAGTTTCCTATTTGAGTGAGGAAAGTGTTCTAATACCATTGGAGGCGACTATGGTATAACCTTGTATTGACAGCTATATACTCTAAAGTTCCTGTAGGGTTCGGTGGCTCAGGCCAGTAATCCCAGCTTGGGAGACTGAGGTAGGAAGATTGCTTGAGTTAGAGGTCTGCCTCAAAAATTTAAAAAAAATTTAAAAGCCCTGAGTAGTGTTTCAGACACTTGAGGAGGCTGAGATGGGGATCAGGCTAAGAAGGGTGACACAGGATTGGGAGACAGACTACACAGCCAGATCCCAATGAAAAAGGAAAATCAAAAGAACTGTAGCTAAGTGAATTTTATCTTAGTTTAAGAAAAAACACTTAAACTGTCACAGGGCGGAAAGTGCTATGGCAGTATTACTGAATTAAAAAAAAAAAGAAAGAAAGAAAAATCGTAAAATGGCGGCAGCCAGGACACGTGACCAAGACTCTCTCGTCTCACACCCTGCAGGACAGACTCCCCCCCAGAGCTGGTTTAGGTGCAGCCCGCCCATTGTTAAACCAAAGTAATGCTCTGGCGCGCTGGCGTCCTCGCTGCGTAATCAATCATAGGGGCGAGCCCGTAGCAGACGTTTCGGGGGGCGCGCACGTAGACGTCAAATCGTAAGTGCCGTTCCTCAGGGAGACGGGGCGGGGCGAGCGGCGTGGAGGAAGACGGGGAAGTTCGCGCATGCGCTGAACGCTGACGGGTTTGAAATGGCTTCGGTGTTAACCGGGATCAGATTCAGGTAAAGATCTGGTTAACGTTTATTTTGAACGGTGGTCTGCCGAAGTGAGATTCTTAACATCTTGTCGGATTCGCGGAAGGGCTGGGAACTCTCGTCTTGGTGCCCCGGCGGTTTTAGGCCAGTGACGGTGGGGCTCTCGTGGGACCGGGGCGGGAGGGACGCGGTCCCTTTTGTGCTGGTCGGAGCAGGCCCCGCGCGGTCCGCCCTTCCCCCACTGCCGCCCCTTGGTCTCGGCCTGGCAGGGCTGTCGGGCGCGGTCCCTCGCTTTCGTGCCGCTGCGGCTTCGGCCGCGAGCCCGAGACGTTCAGTGGCCGTAGGTTCAAACACGGAGGCTTCTCTGTTGGGCCTGGCGCGCGCGTAACCCGCCTTGGGCGCAGCTTTTCGTGACATAGGCGATGGGTTCGGCCCAGCGAGACGCGAGGGCTCGACCTGAGCCTTCTCGGTCTCAACTCTGCTGAGGCGATTTCGCAGGGGTTCTACAAGGGGCGCCTGCTTGCTTAGCTGGCATTCGCCTTGAGAGAAGCAAGGGTACTAAGGCTCTGGGTACTTTCTTACTCGAGAAAGTAGAGATACTCGTTAGAGCGGTATTTAAAAGCGCCTTTACTGGGGGTCGCGTCCCCGTTTCCAGCATTGGCTTCAACGATTCTCTGCTCCTGCTGTCCCCAGTGCTCAAAGGAGCTGACCAGCCTCTCTTTCTTATGACTATAAGGTTGTGAACTAATTTCTGTAATCAGCTGGGTCGGTATAGCTGAGGGTCTTCGGTTTAAATGTTTTTGTTGTAAGTGCCCTAAAATTGAGGTACCCCAGTAATTCAGTTAATGTAAGATTTGTCTGTTACATTTCAAATTTCACTCTTTCTACTTTCATGATTTCCACTTTAGAAGATGTGCTGCATACTCTAAGCATTTCTTTAAGCTATCCTATTATGGTATTTGGAGTCCTGTTAAACTTTGAAACGTGAATCCTTTCTTACAGACCGCTGCTGTAGAAGACAAACAAGGGAAGGTGTTTTCCCCCTTTGCATCATGGCTCAGTTTGGAGGACAGAAGAATCCGCCATGGGCTACTCAGTTTACAGCCACTGCAGTATCACAGCCAGGTCAGACTCCAGAACAGGCAAACTGAGAATGTCCTGAAGGCGGGGATCCTATAATAATGACACATGTACATTGGATAGTATATGACATGATAAAATGTTTCAAATGACATGTCCTTTTTTTGTGAAGATGTTTTAAAAATTCACAGATCAGCCTTCAGAAAAGCTGTTTATCCAGCAGTTTGGACAGTTTGTCTTTTATTGTCTGCGGTACCAGAAAGTAAAGCTGGGGCACGCTGCCGCTGAGCTACATACCCAGCTTTTGTGTTTTTTTTTTAAGTTGAGACAGGGTCTCACTCACCAAGTTGTCCAAGCTGAATTGTAACTTGCAATCCTCTTATTTCAGCCTTCCAGAACTTTGAAATTGTGAGTCTGTGCTATGGATGCCTGATTCATTTTTATTTTTTGAGATAGGGTCTTGCTGAATTGTTCAGGTGGCCTAAATCTGTGATCCTTCTGGCTGAGCCTTCTTTGTAACTGGGGTTACAAGCATAAACACCATGCCAAGCAGCAGTTTTACAGTCTTTAGAATTCATAACTAGATTTAACTTTTAAATTTTAGTTAAGTGTGGTACAGTATCTTTATGTATGTTGCTGAGGTTACAACCTAGGACTTAAGGCAGATGTGCAGGCTGCATGGTGCTGGGTTTTGAACCTAGGGCCTGTACATTATGAGTGCTGTACCTACATTCTCAGCACTAAATTGAATATATATATATATATATATATATATATTTTTTTTTTTTTTTTTTTTTTTTTTTTTGAGATAGGGTCTCACAATGCAGTTCTGGCTGGTCCTGAACTCATTTTGTAACCCAGGCTGGCCTTAACGTGAAGTGATCCTCCTGCTTTAGCCTCTCAGGTGCTGCGATTACAGGGTTCGCCCCCACACCTGACTTCAAAAATGTTTAAAAGTACAGTGGTACCTTGGTTCATGAATGCTTGTGTTTGCAAACAGTTTGGTTTGCAAACTGCACCAAATGACTGACAAACCACAGGCATTTTTCCCTGGACAAATACAAATGTGGCCATCTTTTTCAGAATCATGGATCAAATTAAGTTTGTGATCTTGATATCACTATTTAATTACTGAGTTTTTTTTTTTTTTTTTTTGACCGGGGATTGAACCCATGACCTTGTGCTTGACAGGCAGGTGTTCATGCCACTGAGCTAAATCCCTGGCCCTGATATCACTGTATTTAAAAACTATATTCTGTGAAAAACTATATTATTATGGGTTTTATTTGTTTGGAAGTAGAAAGTTTAATTGTTAGTGTTTTGTTTTTATTTTATTTTTTTTGAGTCAGGGTCTTAATATGTATTCAGGCATGTCTTTAATTCACTATGTAGCCCTTGCTGACCTCCAACTATCAGTGATTCTCCTGCCTGGGTCTCCTGAGTGCTGGGATTCCAGACATGTGCCACCACATACAGCTAGTTGTTTAAAGTAGAAAAAAACAATTCTAAAGAGTTTAATTACTAAGTGAAGAAAAGATAAGTAGTTATAAAAGCAGTAGATGAATGTGATTATTTTCAAAATAGCAGAATGTTTTCAAAATTAAGTCAATAAAAAAATATTTAAACTCTGTTTCAGTGCATACCCATTTTTGGTACTGAGTTTTCTCAGTTTTATTAGGAATAAAATCTTTTCACCATTTAAAATTTTTAAAAAAATTTTGGGTCTTTCTTGAGACAGTCTCATTATGCAGTTCAAACTGGCCTTGAGCTTACTTTTTTTATTTTGGATATTGGGAATCAACTCAGGACTAGGTACTTGCCAGCCAGCTATATCCCCAGTACCTTGAGCTGTGCTTGAACTTCCTTTGTTTCCCAGAGTATTCTTGAACTCGCAAGGATCCTTTTTGCCTCAGTGCTAGGCTTGTACTAGGATTACAGGCTTGTGCTCTCACACTTGACATATATGATAAAGAAATTCCCAACCTACTGGATGTTTGTGTTGTTTAAAATTGGAGAATGAATTTTAGGAACAACAGAGGTTAAGAGGAAAATTTATTTATTTATTTATTTGTCTTTTTTTCTTTATCGGTACCGGGGATGGAACTCACATCTGCCTGCTTGCAAGGCAGGCGCTTATGCCGCTGAGCTAAACCCCCATCCCTCGGAGAATATATTTATTGAGAGAAAGAAAGCTTCCACCCAAGAGAGACAAAAGGGTCCCAATTGAGTTGCCTAGTACTTTTTTTTTTCATCTTTTTGAGACAGGATCTCTGTGCAGTTCAGGCTGACCTTGAGCTCACTTTGTAGTCCAGGCTGGTCTCGAACTTGAAACTATCTTTGTATCTCAGCCACTCTAATGCTGGTATTACAGGTATGTGCCATCATGCCCAGCTTGCCCACCATTTTTTTTTTTTTTTTTGTCTTTTTCCTTTTTATCAGTACAGAGGATCGAACTCAGCACTGCCTGCTTGCAAATCAGGTGCTTATGCCCCTGAGCTAAACCTCCACCCCCTTGCCCACCATTTTTTGAATCTTGTGTTTTTTAAAGACAGCCTTGCTATGTGATTCAAGTTTGTCTTAAACTCGCTGTGTACTCCAGGCAGACCTCCAACTCCAAGTGATTCTCCTGCCTTAGCCTACTGAGTACTGTGTATTGTGGGTATCCACCACTACACCTACCTTTTTTGGTTGAATTTTGGAACATCTCTCTCTTTTTTTTAATATGGTATCTAAGAGTACAACCCAGGACTTCTATAATGTTAGGCAAACACTTTATCATTGAGTTTCTTCCACAGCATGTATCTTTAACCCAATGCCTTTGTACTGAGTTATATCCTCAGCCCTTTCTTATTTTTAAAAATTTTTATTTTATTTTTAAAAAACTAGGGTAGAAATAATACATAATTTCAAAAAAAAAAAAAAAACAAATCACTAGCTGATAAATTACATATTGTCCTCTTAGAAATAGTTGTTCAAGTTACAAAAGTAAAGCATACAAAGTAGACATTTAAACAGTGAGACTGCAAACAGTTCTGTTCAACTATCCAACAAAAACTTAGTAATGTGGTTATCAGTCCTACACACTTAAACATACATGCAGTTATATCCTTTAGAGTGCTTTCTTTTCCTCTTTTTTACAATAGCAATTACACATTTAACCCTTTTTTATTTTGACACAGGGTCTTGCTAAGTCTCTCTTAAGTTGCCCAGTTGCCCTTCGGCCTTCTAGAGTGCTGCCCTTAACAGGCATGTGTGGATAGCTCTGTCTACTTTAGTTTTTAATTGAAGATGGGAGTGTCCCTAAGTTGCCCAGGCTGGGGTTGAACTCGATAATCCACTTACATCAGCCTCCTGAGCAGCTAGGTTAAGAGTGCAAACACTCTTGGTTTTTCTTTTCTCTTGCAGAATTAAAGGTTAACAGTTGTATAGTCAATTAAAAGTAATATAAAAGTTACTTTATATCATACTTATATTGGGGAGGTTTTTGATTTTTGAGGGGTCTTGTTGTGTGGTCTAGGCTGTCCTCAAACTTGAGATGATATACCTACCTCAGCATCCCAGATGTTAGGATCATCATCCTGTGCCATTTAGATTATATTTAATTTATATCCAATTGTAACACCTATTGTGTCCAGAAGCACATCCTCCTGTATTCTGTATTCCTCTGTACTAAGCATGTTTAGCTAACTTTTACTGAACAGTGTATATATTGTGGTATAACTTCATTAGTGTACCAGTATACTTTGTGTTTTTGTGGTTGTGTCTGGAACCCAGCAGAACTACATCCCAATCTCTTTTATTTTAGTTTGAAATGGGATCTTGATAAGTTGCTTAGATTTGCCTGGAACATGTGGTCCTCCTGTCTTCCGCATCCCAGGTAGCTGAAATTGCAGCCTTTTTGTGGGGGTGGCAGGAGAACTGGGTCTTAGCCTTGGACTGCCTCAGCTTTCCAAATGCCAGACCTGTATTTTAATTTTAAGATTGAGCAGAGGAGATATGAAAAGTTCATAAAGTTTGTTAAGGACAGGCAGTAGCAAATTCAGGTCTTATCTTCCCATACTTGGCAATAGTGTGGAAATGTGTGTAATGGGAATTTGTTTTTGGTGCGGGAGATTTAACTCACAGTTTCTTGTTTGCTAAGCAGGCACTTAAGCTGCTGAGCTAAACCCCCAACCCCCTATAATGGGATTTTTGAAAAGATTGTTTGCTGAATGTAATAATTACATTCATTCTGGCAAGTTGGTGTATGTACATATCTTAATTCTTTTCTCCTTCCCTTATAATGAAATTTTCTAAACATAGGTTACAGTTGTGCTCTTTGAAATTATTTATGGTATTTTGGGTTATGTCATAAATCAGAATTTCTCTAAAGTTTTGCTGAGGGCCGGGGATTTAGCTCAGTGGTGTAGCGCCTGCTTGGCAGGCTCAAGGTTGTGAATTTGATCCCCGGTACCAAAAAAAAAAAAAACCAGTTTTGCTGATAACTTTCGTAACTAGACTGTTTTTTCTAAGTTTCTTGAAAGCTTTTCTTTAATAATCATGAAATACATTATAAATGGAACTCTCTAGTTTAGAATAAGGGTGCTATCCGTACTGGGGAGCAAGGTGAGGACCTCGGGCTTGCCAGGCAGGTGCTGTGCCACTGGCTATATCCCTGGTGCTGGGTGCTTTATTTTAGACTGCTTCATGAATGTTTGATAATTTTCTTGCTGCCTTTGTTTCTTTTTTTTTTTTTTAATGGTACTGGGGTTTGAATCTATGAAGTGTCAGGGCTCCCTTTTTCTTTTCTTTTTTAATTTTCTTTTTGAGACTTTTAGTTAAGTTGCCTGGGCAGTGCTTGAACTTGCTGTGCTCTTGCTTTAGCCTCTCAGAGCACGAGGACCATAGGTGTTTACCACCATGCCTGGTTTTGCCTTTTCTTAAAGCTGTCCCCTCCCCTTGCTTTTTGAGACAGAATTTCATCATGTAGTACAGAGTAGCCTGGCCTTGAATTCACTGTGTCACCTAGGCTGGCCTCAAACTTGTGATCCTTTTTATTTATTTATTTTTAATTTTTTTTAAACTTGTGATCCTTTTGCCTCAGCCTCTTCAGTGCTGGGGTTCCAGGTGTGAACCACCACACTCGGCCTCTATAAAGCCTTTTGACTCATTTTTATCACAGTAATAGAGTAAATCCTCAGAGCCACGAAAATTCTGTCATTTTTTTTTTTTTTTAAATTTCTAAGGCCTTAGGTACATATTATTTACATCTAATCTCAGGAAAGAACATTCTTTTAAAATTATTTTCAAAATTGTATGAGGCCTACACTAGATTCTGTCCTAATTCCTTTCTTCAACCAGTGAAAAAATTGAAACCTAGGAAAGTGAACAAACAAAAAAAAAGTAAAAGAGATTTCTGTTTCATTGTACTAGGTTTTGAATCCAGGGTTTTCATACTGAGGTACATTTCCTCTTCTTTTGTTGGTTTATTTTGAGACAATCTCAAGCAATAGTTTGAGTTGCCCAGGCTGGGTTTAAAAGGGATTTAGCTCAGTGGCATAAGTGCCTGCCTTGCAAGCAGGCAGTCATGAGTTCGATCCCTGGTACTGATAAAAAAGAAAAAGACAAAAAAAAAAAAAAAAAAAAAGAGTTGCCATTTTCCTGCTTTTATCCCTGAGAGTGCTGGGATTACAGGTGTGTGCCACCACACCCAGTGTAGGTGAGCAGATTTACTTGGCAAGAAAGTAGAGGTGATTAAAGGTGGATCATATGACATTAGGAATGATATCTTCAGCTGCCTGATGAGATTGGCTAACAATTAACTGAGTTGTAGGTAGGAAACTAGCTAGAAGCACTAGTTATCCCTTCAGGGGACTTTCAGAGAGAGTAAGATCTATTATGTTTTTTTTGTTTTGTTTTTTGTCTTTTTCCTGTTTGGAAAGAGCCATATGTATAAACTAGACCCAGCAGTATACATCTATAAAATCCCAGCAAATTTGGAACCTGAGGCAGGCAGACAGTAAATTTTAGGCCAGCCTAGGCAACTTAACAAAAGCTTTTTTCAGAATAAAAAAATTTGCCACTTGCCATTAAATCTTTTTTTTTTTTTTTTGTCTTTTTCATTTTTATCGGTACCGGGGATCGAACTCACGACCGCCTGCTTGCAAGGCAGGTGCTTATGCCACTGAGCTAAATCCCCAGCCCCTTGCCATTAAATCTTGAACAGTCTCTAGCCTCCCTAAAAAAAAAAAAAAAAAAAAAAAAAGATCTGGCAGTGTAGCAGAGAGTACTTCCTGAGTTCAGTCTTTTACCACTAAAGGGAAAAAAATAGCTGGGCATGGTGGCACATGCTTGTACTTAGGGCGTTGAAGCAGAAGGATCATAAATTTAAGTATCTCCTAAACAACTTTGCAAAACCATGTCTCAAAAAAAGAGGTGGTAAGGCTGGAGATTTAGCTCAGCAGTATAAGCACCTGCCTGGCAAGTGCACAGTCCTGAGTTTGATCTTGGTACAAAAAAAAAAAGGATGGTGGTGGGACTGTAGCTAAGTGCAAAGGCTTTGAGTTCAGTCCCCTTTGCTTAAGGGAAAAAAAGAAAAAACACTGTATAATACTAATTTAATTTAAGATTTGCCTTTTCCTTACAAAATACCATCGGCTAATAAATAGAATGTTCTGCCAGACGGTGCAGTGTATGTCTAGGGGGCCAAGGTGGGAGGATGGCCTGAACTATATAGCATGACTGTGTCTCATGAAGCCAAAAAATGGGTGTGTGAGGAGGTTCAGACGGATACAGCTAAGTGTTAGTCTTAGAGCTCATACTCATGAGTGACTATGGGTTCATTCCCCAGTACCAAAGGGAAAAAAATATTTTGTGATAGGTTCTATGTCTGTATTGTCTAGTACAGGACCTCCCACCCTTTTTGGGAATTGAAGTCTGCACTTTTGCACTGAGCTACATTTCATGCTAAATTGTTCAGGCTGGGCTGGAATTTGAGACATTTCTACCTCAGCTCCTCAAAGTGCTGAGATTATAGGCATGGGCTACCACATTGTTTGTTTGTTTATTTGTTATTTATTTAGTTTTTTGAGATAGGGTCTGTAGTTCAGGTTGGCCTTGAACTCTTACGTATCCCAGGCTAGCCTTGAACTTGATGTGATCCTCCTGCTTCTGCCTCCCCAGGGCTGGGATTACAGGCGTGCATACCGTGTCAAGCTTTATTGTTTATTTTTGAGTTAGTGTCTAAGTCAATAAGTTGCTGGTTCTGGTTTCAAATTTGTGATCTGCCTCAGTTTTTGAATTACAGGTGTGCATCGTACCTGCTTATTGTCATTTTATTTTTTTCCCCATACTGGGAAACCTGAACTCATGGCCACTGCACTGAAACCACAAGTGTGTCCCACCTCACCTGTCCCAAATTTTATAATTCTTGTCTCCAAAGTACATGTGTTTAAAAATCTTTTCTAGTAGAAAGTTTTAAGGGTTTGTCACTTCCAGCAGCACTGTCTTTAATGAGTTTATGTACTTACCTTTTCAGTTTTTCAGCACTGGCAATGGAATGTAGGACTTGGTGCATGTTAAACAAGTTCTAACACTAAGCTACATTCTTAGCCCAAAACAAGAACATTCCAGACTAGTAAAATAAGCTAATTTGGTCGCGCGCGCGCGCGCGCGTGTGTGTGTGTGTGTGTGTGTGTGTGTGTGTGTCTCTTTTTGAGACAGGGCTTCACAATGTAGTTCAGGCAGTCCTTAAACTCGCTGTGTATTCCAGACAGCAATCTTCCACCCAGGTACTGGCATTGCAGGTGTAGGTCACCACTTCCATCTGAAAATAAGCTTATTTATTTTCTACTTTTGTTCCTAAAAATACTTAATAAGAGTATTGTGGTCTCTTAGTCTAGATAAGTTAGGTTGGATTTGCGTCAAATTTAATTTTATAGAAGTTTGAAGTTTGTTGTTTTTTTTTTTTTTTTTTTGGAGACTGGGTTTTGTTATGCAGTTCAGGCTGGCCTTGAACTCACTTGGTAGCCCAGGCTGGCCCTCGTGGACTCAAAACAATCCTGCCCTAACCTCCTGAGTGCTGGAATTACGGACATGCACCACCACACCTGGCCTATGGAATAGTGTTACTGTCTATAGCTTAAACATTTTACTATAAAGACATTGGGATTTGGAGGGATGGAAAATCAGCTAAATTTAAACAAGCATTGCTGGACTTGTTCTTTGAGTTCTTAAATAAATCATGACAACAATGGTGCTTAATTAAGCACTCAAAATGTTTCTGAAGAGATGAAAGTAATCTTCATATTTCTTCTGTTTTTAATCTCATTTTAGCTGCACTGGGTGTTCAGCAGCCATCCCTTCTTGGAGCATCTCCTACTCTTTACACACAGCAAACTGCATTGGCAGCAGCAGGCCTTACTACACAGACGCCAGCAAACTATCCGTTAACACAAACAGCGGCTTTGCAGCAGCAGGCCGCAGCTGCAGCAGCTGCATTGCAACAGGTGAATTCCTAAGGTTTTTTTTTTTTTTTTTTTTTTTTTAATTAAAATTGATGTGTGTTTTCAGTACATAATGACTATATATATTGTGAGGAGTTGCTACATGTACCTGACACATGAATTTACATACAGGTTTAATTTGAAACATAGAAGGCTGTAAAATCTACCTGAATAGTTAGGGTTGCAGTTTCCATTTTTTAAAGAATAAATAGTAGTGGAGTTTGTTGTGTTTGTGTGTGTGTGTGTGTGTGTGTGTGAGTGATGTTAAAATTACAGTGTGTATGCCCAGCACATAGATATATTTTTTCTAATTCTTAAAAGTAGACAGTTCTTACAGATTATTTGAATTAAGTTCAGTTCTTGATGATTCCAAATATAAGTAATCATTTTATTTTAGATGAAGTGTCTTTTCAGTGTAATTTTGATTGTTTTTATATATCACTATTTTGAGATTGAATAAAGCTGACATCTGTATTTTTCTTTGCATAATGTGTTTATTTAATCTTTCAGCAATATTCACAACCTCAGCAGGCCTTGTATAGTGTGCAGCAACAGGTTAGTTTATATTTTTCATGCTAAAAACTGATTTTGTTTGTGTGCATTGTTTTGTTTTGTTTCGTTACTTTTGAGGCAGGATCTCAACCATGTAACCCAGGCTGGCCTCAATCTCTCCCACTTGGGATTACGTACAGTGGGCCACCATGCCTGGCTATAAACTGATTTTAAAATAGCCGTTTGTTCCAAAATTCAACTGATGGCTAGTGTTATTCCTACTAGCTACCATAAACCATAGTGCATGATTTTAAAAAAATATTTTGGAGGGAATAGAGAATAAGAGAAGAGAAAAAGAAATACCCATAAGAGAGAGACTGTGATAAATGACAAACCCAAATTCCTGAGTCTTGGACTAGCTGCTAGAATTTTCACATACTGTATCTCTAAGAAAGCCTGCTGAGAGTAATCTGGAGAAAAACATTCTGAGTCTTTGGATCTTTACCTATATACTGCTAAGCTAAATTTCATGTAAAAGTGAAATCATCTTTTCCCACTTGAAGCCAAGTCTTTACACAGGCCACTTGCTTTCAGGCTTTACTTTTTAGTAGAATGTCTTCCTTTGTCCTATTTTAATTATGTGTAAAAACTCAGTATAGAAAATAATAGAGTAGAGCTGGGGGTTTAGCTCAGCGGCGGAAGCGCCTGCCTTGCAAGCAGGCAGGCGTGAGTTCGATCCCTGGTACCGATAAAAACAAAAAAGACCAAAAAAAAGAAAAGAAAATAATAGAGTAGAGGGCTGAGGATTTAGCTCAGCGGCATAAGCGCCTGCCTTGCAAGCAGGCAGTTGTGAGTTCGATCTCCAGTACCGATAAAAACAAAGAAGAAAAGAAAAGAAAATAATAGAATAGAACTGTTAAAAAAGAGGAGGAAGCCTCCCTTTGAGTTTATTACCCTATTCTTGAGGCACATTTGAACAATTTGAAAATTCCTGACTTACATTAAAAGCATGTTTCTTAGCTGTGTTTGCCTTAGATTTAACCTCTAGCCATTCTCTTAAGATCCTTTTTCTATGAGATAGGAAGCAAGAACATCCTAAAGATAAGATTGACTAAGAAAGGAGAGTTTGCTCTGTTAAAATTTAGATAGATTCTAGCCAAAGCACCTATTTCAGGCTTGTCTGTGGCTAGCAAATACTGTTTAATCTGCCTTCATAAAAAGTTTTAAGAGCTCCATATAGTGGTACTTTGCTATAATCACAGTAATGTGGCAGGCTGAAGGAAGATTGCAAATTTCAGGCCAGCCTGGGGAACATAGCAAGACTATTTCGAAGTAAAAATATTTAGCAACAAAAGTTAAAATCTATTAAACAAAGAAACGGGCTATGAGAGCTGGTAGGTTGGTGCATTCCTATAATCTCAGCAGTTGGCAGGCTGAAGGAGGAGGATGGCCTCAAGTTTGAGGCCATCGTGAGCTACTTATTGAATTCAGGACCACCTTGAATTCTATAGAGAGATCCTGTTTCAAAAAGACAAAAGCAAACAAGCAGACCAAAACCCCAGGAAGTGGGCTGTAAACCTGTCATCCCAGTACTCAGGAAGCAGGAGGATATTTGTGATTTCAAGAACAGCTTGAGGGAGTGTCTGGGGATTTAGTTCAGTGGCACAACACCTGTCTGTCAAGCACAAGGTCCTGAGTTCGATTTCCAGTACCAAAAAGAAAAAAAAAGGCTACGTTAAAAACCATACTGGGCTATATGATATGAGACTCTGTCTCAAATAATTAAAAAGTTAAATGAGGGGCTGTGGTTGTTGCTCAGTGTTAGACCATTTTCGTAGCTTACAGGAGGCCTAGTGCTCACTTTCCCACATCACACAAAATAGAAGAGACTGATTTAAAAACACACAGCATGTCAGGACAGGAAGACAGTACAAAAGAGAGGGACCAGAAACTGGACCTGACGGCAGTATGGAGGAGCATGAGGCTTAAATACTGTGGGGCTTCAGAACTCTTTCATTATCTCTGAAGATTATAGTATCTCACTGAGCAATTTAAGATAATTGCTTAAATTTTCTGAAAACGGGCAAGAGATCTAAAATTCACTGTCTTTTTATAGGAATTTTTGGTTCTGTTTTCTTGTTGGTCTTGGAAATTAAACTTATAGCCTCCATACTGAGGCAGATCTCTCTAATCCCTCACGCTGACCCCTTTTTGGTTGACTTGCCCAGGCTGTGTTTAGTTTTGTTATCCTCCTGCTTCAGCCACCTTACAGTGTTGTTGTTAACAGACATGTGCTGTCATACCTGACTTCAGCTGTGTTTACTTTAAAATACCCTCAGGAGGCTGAGGCAGGAGGATTGTTGAGGGCTCAAGAATAGCCTGGGCTACAAAGTGAGCTCAAGGCTAGCCTGAACTGCATAGTGCGACCCTGTCTCAAAAAGACCAAAACAAACAGACAAACAATATCCTCAGAGCACTGAGGATATGGCTTGGTGTAGGGTACTTGCCTATTGTGAGTGGCTTTGGGTTCACTCTCCAGTCCTAGAAAAAAATCACTCAGACTCACTTTTGTTGTTTTTGTTTTTTGGTACCAGGGATTGAATTTATCACCTCATACTTGCCAGACAGACACTGTGCTGCTGAGCTAAGTCCCCAGCCCTTTCAGACTCACTTTTTAAAAATAATTTTTTAGTAAATGTTTGCAGTGCATAATGATTGCATTCATCACGGGGAATTTGTGCATGTACACAATCTTTTTATTTTCCTTTTCCTTTCTCCCACCTCCATTTCTAGATTGCATTCTGATTTGCAAAAAGATCCATTTCTTGTTGTCTCAAAATTTTATTTTGCTCTTTATTTATACTTTGGGTTTCCCATGTGAGAGACCATGTAATATTTAAAATGGTGTATCTGATTTATTTCATTTAACATTTTGATCTCAAGGTGTATCCATTTTCATACAAATGATTCAGGTTAATCCCTAGTGGCGTTTTAGTACTTCCTTGTGTGTAAGTACCAGATTTTCTTTATCCATTCATCTATGGATGAACATATAGACAAGGTCTAAGATCTAGGTTTTTTTTTTTTTTTTTTTTTCTCTTTGAGACAGATCTCCCTATGCAGTTCAAGCTAGCCTTGAGCTCACTTTGTAGCCCAGCTGGTCTTGAACTCGAAATGATCCTCTTGCCTCAGCCTTTAGAGTGTTGGGATTGCAGGAGTGCGACACCATGCCCGGCTTTTATATAAATTGTCCTGCTATAAACTATGTATGTGTGTGTCCTTGTAATAAAGTCCTTTAATCTTTTAGGACGATACCTAGAAGGGGAATAGCTGGATTAAATGAAATTTCTACTTTTAGTCATTTGATGAATCACCATACAGATTTCTGTAGTACTACTTTACATTCCCTCCAACAATACAGAAGGTTTCCTTTTTCCCCATACTCTTAGCAGTGTCTGTTATTACTTGGTTTCTTCATGGTGGCTGTTTTTTCTGGAGTAAGGTATAGACTCACTGCACCATAGGAAAATGTTACTACTAAAATATTAAAGAAAAGTAGTTTTTGTTTGCATTTTGTATTACTGAGGCTTAAGGCAAGAGCCTTCATACTGAACCTGTATGCTAGGCCCTTTTTTCTTTTCTTTCTTTCTTTTTTTTTTTTTTGGTGTCAGAAATTGAACACGGGACCTTGCACTTGCCAGGCAGGCACTGCGTCCCTGAGCTATATTCTTGGCCCTCCTTTTTTTTTTTGTCACCTTTACTTTTAAATTAGTATTGAGACAAGGTCACATTGTTACCCAAGCTAGGTTCAAATGGAGAGCCTCCTGTCTTAACCTGCCAGAATATTAGAATTACGGGTGTGCACTACCATGCCCAACTACAAAATTTTTTTATTTTTATTTTTTTATTTTTGAGACAGTCTCACTGTGCAGTTCAGGCTGATCTTGAGCTCACTTTGTAGCCCATGCTGGTCTAGAATTTGCAGTGATCCTTTTGCCTCAACCTCTTGAGTGCTGGGATTACAGGCAGCCATCATGCCCAAGGGGAAAAAAATTTCTTTTTGTTTTTTGTCTTTTTCATTTTTACCAGTACCGGGCATCGAACTCACGACCTGCCTGCTTGCAAGGCAGGTGCTTATGCCGCTGAGCTAAATCCCCAGCCCCCAGGCAGGTACTTATGCCATTGAGCTAAATCCCCAGCCAGAAAATTAGTACTTTGTTAAGATTTAGCCTCTAATGCTGATGACTAGAGGTGGTACACATGTATAATCCCAGCACTGAGAAGGCAGAGGCAGAAGGATCACAGCAAATTCAAGGCCCGCCTAGATTACATAATGAGACCTTGTCTTAAAAAAGGATTCAACCTAAAAAAAAAAAAGATTTAATGTTCAATATACAGTGACATTAGCTCAGTATTTTAGTTTGAACTTTATATATGAATTCTGTCATCCTCACTTATGTCAAGATTATTTACCAAATTTCTAAGCCCCTCCCCAGTGTTCCTTTTCTGTTAAATGTGTTACTGTTGCCAAACAAATGATATCACAGTATATGGTTCCTCACAGTGAGCACTCCTATGGTAAATCTGACCAGTAACGAGAAATTTTCATTTTAGACATTTATATGAATTGGATATCCAGTGCTATTTCTATCTGTATAGTTGGCATATTGATGATATAAATGAAACTGTTTTAGTAGTGTAGTAATTAACTCATTATGAAAGTAGAATTTTTTTTTTTTTTTTTGGTCTTTTTCCTTTTTATCGGTACCAGGGATCTAACTCACGTCTGCCTGCTTGCAAGGCAGGCGCTTAGGCCGTTAAGCTAAATCCCCTGCCCCAAAAGTAGAAATCTAAGCGCCTGCCTTGCAAGCAGGCAGTCGTGAGGTTGGTCCCTGGTACCGATTTAAAAAAAAAAAAAAAGAAAGAAAAGAAAGAAAGTAGAAATCTCCCATAGAGAATTGTGGGGTGTTTTTGTGTGTTACTTCTTTGAACAAGAAAAACTAATCTTAGCTGAATGTGATGGCGTGCATCTATAATCCTAGCCATGAGGACACTAAGGCAGGAAGATCATCACAAATTCAAGGCCAGCGTGGGTTACCTAATAGTTTAAGACCAGTCTGAAATATATGTTGAGATTCTGTCTCAGACAGACAAAGCAATCCCATTTCTAAGCCAGGTAAGGTATCACACACCTGTGATCCCAGCATTGACAGAGGCTAAGGCAAGAAGCAAGCCCTAGAATATGTAGAGAGTTCAAGCTCAGCTTGGACTACACAACAAAACCCCTGATATGGTGGCACATGCCTGTAATCCCAGATACTTCAGAGCATGAGGTAGAAAAATTGTGACTTCAAGACCAACCTGGACAACTTAGTAATAATATTCCAGCTCAAAAAAAAAAAGAAAAAATTGAATTTCATTTAAAAAGTATAGCTAGGTGATTATTATTGAATGAGTTACTTATGTACCATATCATCTGGTGTAAGGTACCTACTATTTGTATGTTACCTTACACCAAATGATGTGTTACGTTTCATCTTTTTCTTAAAAAGAAGATAATGTTTAATAGGAATTTTCTTTATGGAGCATCTGGAGCAGCAACTGATTGATCCTTTTGTATATTTTTCTTCTTTCTTTTTTTTTTTTTTTTTTTTTTGTGCCTATTTTCAGTTACAGCAACCCCAGCAGACCCTTTTAACACAGGTTAGTATGGCCTTACATTATTTCTCTTAGATGTCTAAATGAAAAAGTTTTATTTGTAGGGTTTTTTTTTGTGTTTTTTTAGCATATTTACTCTGAATTTTTTCTGTTCCACTATAATTAACATGTAGTATAATTAGAAATCTTCTTTATGGAATTTTGTGTGTTTTTTTCTTTTTTTTGGTGGATGTTATTTCTTATTCTAGCAAGTGGTCTGTGCTTTTAAGGGTAAGGCAGGCTGCCAGGGTTAAGAACTTAGTGAGTACCTGCCTCGAACATAGCTGGGGCTGTAGCTCAATACAAAGCCCTAGGTTCAATTTCCAGTAATAACTCCCCCCAAAATACAGTATTCGTAATAATTCAGCAGTGTATTGCTAAATCAAAATGGAAAATGCATCAGTTTCTATATTTTGATTGCAGTTCTATAGTTTAAATTTTATTTTAAATTTAATGCAAGAGTTCAGTGGCAAAATACCTTCCTGACAAGCACATGGTTCTGAATTTAATTCCCAGTACCAAAAATAAACAAGCTAACTAAACTTAATACAGACATTTTCTTTACATTAGATGGGGTTGGTGGGGTACTAGGCATTGAGCCTGGGACTTTTCTCATGCTAGCTAGGTAAGCGCTCTACTACTGAGCTATATTACTAGCTCTCTCTATAGCCAGTATTTAGGAAATTTTTTAAACTCTTTTTCTTTTTCCAGTGTAATCTTTTTTTTTTTGTTTGTTTCTATTGGTACCAGGGATCGAACTCACGACTGCCTGCTTGTAAGGCAGGCGCTTATGCCTCTGAGCTGTATCCCCAGCCCCCTCCAGTGTAATCTCAGCAGGGGAAGTTACTTGCATTGTTAATTGCATCCTTAATTTAATTCTTAAAGTTTTTTTTTTGTTTGTTTGTTTTTTTGGTACTAGGGATTGAACTCATGACCTCATACTTGCCAGGCAGGCCCTTAAGCCGCTAGCTAAATCCCTAGGCCAATTTTTCAAGGATATTGAGAAGTTTTGGTTTGCCAAAAAAAAACAAAACAACAAAGAAGTTTTGATTTGATTTGGTTTGGTTTTTGGCCTTTGTATTGTGCTGGGATCAATCTCAGGGCCTCATGCGTGGTACACAAGTGCTGTACCACTGAGCTACATTTGCAGCCCACATTTAAAAGTTAAGAGTTTTTGGGTCTTTGGACCCCATAGGTAGAGCACATGTTTAACATGTGTAAAAGTAAGGCTTTGGATTTAGTCTTTACCACTACACATAAAACATTTTAACCTTTTGGTGTTTAAGAGTCATCTGAGTGTTTCTGTTTCATACTTTTTCTTTACAACCCTTTAAAAAAAGATGCCTCCTTTTATGTTTTTTGGTCTTTGGATATGGTGGTACATGCCCATATTCCTAGCACTGTGGGAGGCTGAGGGGTCCAACCTGGGCAGTTTAGCAATTTAGTGAGATTCTGTCTTGAAACAAGCAAAAAAAAAGGATTGATGATGTGTCTCCATTTCAAGGCTCTGAGTTCAGTCTCCAGTATCTAGATAGTATGTATGTAAAAAGTATTTTTTTCTTTATTGTGGTACTAAGGATCAAGCCAGGACCTTGAACATGCTTGGAAGGAGCTCTAATACTGAGCTACACTCCCAACCCTCTTTATTTATTTGTTTGTTTGTTTGTGTGAGACAGGTCTTGCTGTGTTATTGAGGCTTGAATTCATTATACATCCCAGGTTGGCCTCAAATTTGGGGTAATACTACTACCTTAGCTTCCTGAATGCTGGGATTACAGTCCTATGCCACCACTCTGTACTAAATTTTAAAATATTTATGGTGGGGTTTTGTTATGACTGGCCTGGAAATTGCAGCCTTCCTCAGCCTTACCCTTCCAAATAGCTGTCATTATACTTGACCAGAAAAATCCATTCTTTTCTCATTAAGTGTACAATAACAAGCTGTTCGCTGGATTTTACCCATGGGTCATAATTTATTGACCTGTAGAAATGAAATTCTGAGGCTGGGGATTTAGCTCAGTGGCATAAGTGCCTGCCTGGCAAACATGAGATTGAGTTCGAACCCTGGCAACATTCTGCAGCTGTTAAAAGGAATGGAGAAAAGGGAAGTAGAACTTTTTTTTTTTTTTTTAAAGTATTGGAGTTATTAAATCCAGGTTTTAGCTGGACATGTTGGTACATGTCTATAATCCCAGCCATTGGGAGGCTGAGGCAAAAGTATCAGTATGAGTTAAAGGCCAGCATAAACTATATATATATAGTGAGTCCTTGTGGGGTTTTTTGTCTTTTTTTAAAGACAGAACATTGTTAAGACAATTAAGGCTGATCTTGAACTCTAGATTCTGCCTCACGCTCCTCAGTGCAGGGATTCTAGGCATGGGCTACCATATCCTACAAGGAGTACCTGTTTTAAAAAAGAAAAACTGGGGCCCCACAAATGTTGTGCTTCCCTGATTGTACTATTTAGCTGCACTGCCACCCTTAGAATTGTCATGTATATACGGGGTATCTCAGAAACATGAGTGGAGTAGAAGAAAATCTATGTTGCTGTGTATATTACAGGCTTCCATTTACTTGTGAGAGAATAGGAGGAGGTCTGTTTTTATCTGTATGTGTACATATTTAAATAGAATATTTCCAGGAAGCCCTGTGATAAAATATTATGTGATTTTTTTTCTCATAGACAGGTGCTGAGTAGCTGATGAACAAGAATAAGTAGCTTTGTTTAACTTTTCTTGTAAATAAATAAATAATTTATTTTTTGGTACCAAGCATGAAACTTAGGCTTTCACACTTCACAGGCAGGTGCTGTACCACTGAGCTATATCCCCAGCCCATTAAGTTATTTTTTAAAAATAAAGTGCACATCCATTGAAAAACCTTACAGTAGAACTCAAATCCAGCCTAGCATTCACTCCCATAAACCAAGCATTAAGGGAGGCTAAAATTTGATTGTAAATTTCAGGTGAGCCTAGACAAATTTAGCAAGATATTGTTTCAATAAAAACTAAATAAAAATTAAAAACTACCAGCCCTACAACTCAGTCATAGAGTGGTCCTGGATTCAATCTCCAGTACTTTAGATAAATAAATGAATAAATAAGTAAACCTACAGATGAAATATGTTGAAAATAACAGAATTTTTCATACTGTATTGTTACTTTCAAGATGTACATAAGTATTTTATATATGCTATAAAATGTAACACTTTGAGATAAATCAATTTTTAATTATCAGACAATTTCAAATCATTAATTTGATGTTGATTTTTTCCAATAGCCAGCTGTTGCACTCCCTACAAGTCTTAGTCTGTCTACTCCACAGCCTGCAGCACAGATAACTGTATCCTATCCAACACCAAGATCCAGTCAGCAACAGACCCAACCTCAGAAACAACGCGTTTTCACAGGAGTTGTTACAAAGCTACATGATACCTTCGGATTTGTGGATGAAGATGTATTCTTTCAGCTTAGGTAAACTTTATTAGCTGTTGGCAGATGGTTTCTTGAATTTAGTGTAAAGGACTTGCTTCCTCATGGCAAAGATTATAGTTTTTTGTTTTGTTTTGGTACTTGGGATCAAATTCATAACCTCATGTTTGCCAGGCAAGCACTTGAGTCACTGAGCTAAAACTCTGGCCTATCTTGATTGTTGAACAAAGTACTTATGGTCAGTTCTTTGTAAATGTTTTATGGGAGTTAGATGGCATGTCTAATGAGATTCATGAACAGACTAGGGATACATGCCTTTTAAAATCTAATCTTTTGTTTGACATCTCTGATAATAGTCTGCATTTTTAATTGAAAAATTAGTAGGATCATATGATTAATAGACTTAACATTCACAATAGTACTTCTTTTTTTAAGCCAATCAAATTTAGCAGTGGGGGGGCACAATAGTACTTTGATAAGTTTGTTATAGGAAACGCAATTTCTTCAGAAATTTCAGGGTATTTTATTTCATATATATATATATATATATATATATATATATTTTTTTTTTTTTTTTTTTTTTAGTGTTTTGCTTTTTAAACAAGACCTCACTTGTATCTTAGTCAGGTCTCAATGTCACTATGTAGCTGGGTATGGTGGCACTTACCTGTTAATTCCCGCAGTTGGAAGGCTGAGGCAGGAGGATTGCTGCAAGTTCGAGGCCCATATTAAAAAAAAAAAAATTAAGCATATAGCCCAGACATGCCTTGAACTCTTTATCTTTTTTTTTTTTTTTTTGTATTTTTACCGGTACCAGGGATCGAACTCATGACCACAGGCTTGCAAGGCAGGCGCTTATGCCGCTGAGCTAAATCCCAGGCCCCTATCTTATATTTTTAAATATAATTTTATTTTAAAGAGAATAAAACCAAGTAAAACAGAATAAAACCCATCAAAACAAAACAGTGAAAGTGATACATGACTCAAACACAAGATAAAAGGAAATTAGGAATGGCTACAATAATGCCTCTTGTTATCTTCAAAATTGCTGCCGATACTATCACATTATAATAAGATCAAATGACAGAATAAAACCAATCAAAACAACATTAAATAAAACAAAACAATAAACTGGAACAAAACAACAGAATAATGTTGAATTTCAAAAACAAGATAGAAATCCCTCATAATTGCTATATTGTACATTATTATCCTCTAAATAGATGATCAGACTTCCAGCTTTAGGCCTGTGAAGTCAGTCAAACAATATAAGCATTAAGTTGTTTTGTACCTCAGTTGCTATTAGCTCAGCCTGATTTCCCCTAAATCAGCTGTTTGCTTATGGGAAAAGGGTGGTTCTTTACTTCCAGCCCGCTTGCCAACTGTCTAACAAGAAGGGCAGATTGGCTTCTTGTTTGTCCCTGACTGCATGGCTGCTGCTGTCTCACAGGAAGGGTGAATTGGTTTCTCTTGATCCTCTTGCTACAGCCTCCCAAGTGCTGACATACTTTCAGTGTATTTCTGGTGAACTTCTAAGCTTAAGAATTATGTTTGGGAAATACCATACAAGATATTTCTAGAACTTCAGTTTCCAGATTTCTATTTTTTTCTCCATCTTTTTTTGTGAAAGCTTAAAACAAATTTAACTCTTGAGTTATAAATCAGAAAGTTTTTTTATACAATAGAGCATAATACTATGAGAACATAAAATAATAATTGCTTTTGGCTTCAGATCCTGTGTTTGCTTGGGTATGATGTAAAGTACTATAATCACAGCCTCTGAGGAGACCGAGGCAGGAGGGTCATAAGATCAAAGCTAGGCTAATCAGTTTAGCAGTACCCTGTCTCAAAAAGGGCTGGCCGCGAGCAATAACACTTGGCATGTAAAGCTGTGAGATACTATGCAACGAGAAGAAAAAAGTTGTTCGTATGCAAGGGTTTACATGATCAATTCCAAATGAGTTTAGAACTATTTACTATTTATGTTTTAATTTATCTACTTTTTAAAAGAACTTTGCATCCTTCCATTTCAGATATAGTGTATTTTCAAATCTCAAATATGTGTAAGAGAGAGTCACTTTAAATTACATATAAATCTTCTGGGGATAATCTCTTTTTACTTGTGTGTTTTTTTTTTTTTTTTTAATTTCGAAGAGAATAAAACCAAGTGAAATAAAGCAGAATAAAGTAAGTCAAAACAAAATGATTAACATGGAACATGACTTTAAAACAAAATACAAGGGGTCTTTTACTTGTATTTATATTTAACTTTTTTTTTTCAGTGCCGTCAAAGGGAAAACTCCCCAAGTGGGTGATCGAGTATTAGTTGAAGCTACTTACAATCCCAATATGCCTTTTAAATGGAATGCTCAAAGAATTCAAACACTACCAAATCAGGTACATACAATTTTGAATTACGAAAGAAGTTTGGTATTTGAGTCATCTAATTCACTATGAATTTTCTTTAAAATTTTTATTTCTTGCCTTTTGGCCAGAACTGCCATCTTCCAGTAATTTGCCAAAATGACGAACACAAAAGAAAGAGGAGGGGAACCTTGTATATGTTCTCTAGGCCTTTTAGAAAACATGGGGTTGTTCCTTTGGCCACGTACATTTTTGTAGACACATGTGCATCTACAAAAAGGGTGATATTGTAGACATCAAAGAAATGAGTATGGTGCAAAAATGAATGCCATACAAATTTTACCATGACAAAACAGGAAGAGTCTATAATGTTACTCAGCTTGCTTTTGGCACTGTTATAAACAAACACGTTAAGGGCAAGATAATTGTCAAGAGGATTAATGTATATATGAAACATATGCTTAAAGAATTGCCATAGCTTCCTGAAATATGTCAAGGAAAATGATCAGAAAAAAAAAGGTCAAAGAGAAAGATACCTGGGGTCAACTGAAGTGCCAGTCTGCCCCACCAGAGAAGCACATTTTGTGAGAATCAATGAAAAGGAGCCTGAGTTGTTGGAATCTATTCTCTCTGAATATATGGCTGGGGATGTATTTCTGCCATTCAATACCTAATTGGTGGCTAAGTATTCTAGGCCCTACTTAAAAAGTCATCCTGTGTTGTAAGGATGGCTTTCTTAATTGAACAGGTGTGGTGCCTTTGCCTCAGAAACAAATATTTGGAGCAGATTTTCATTCTACCTAGTTAATTATGTTGGGTGTTTACTCTTCTGTGTTTTTCTTGCTGAAAGATATTGCAGAGATATTGTGTAGGTGTATATACAACATGGACAGATATTTATGAAATATTTGTATTGACTTGATTCTATAAGTCATCATGGGGAAAAATGTATCAAAATAAAATGGAAATCACTTCAATTAAATAAAAGTCTATTTCCATTGAAAAAAAATTTTTTAAAATTTTGTTTTATTCAAGAATCAGTCCCAAACTCAACCTTTACTGAAGACTCCTCCAGCTGTACTTCAGCCAATTACACCACAGACAACATTTGGTGTTCAGGCTCAGCCACAGCCTCAGTCCCTGCTGCAGGCACAGATTTCAGCAGCTTCTCTTACACCGCTGCTGCAGACGCAGCCACAGCCCTTACTCCAGCAGCCGCAGCAGAAAGGTATGATGTATGTTGTCTTTGTATTAATCTAGGGTATTATCCATCACTGGTCAGATCAGGTCAGGTCTGGTCTGGTCTGGTCTTTTTTTTTTTTTTTTTTTTTTGTCTTTTTCCTTTTTATCGGTACCAGGGATTGAACTCACGACTGCCTGCTTACAAGGCAGGCGCTTACGCCACTGAGCTAAATCCCCAGCCCCTTGGTCTGGTCTGGTCTGGTCTGGTCTGGTCTGGTCTGGTCTGGTCTGTATCGTCTTGTCTCATCTCGTCTCTTTTGTGGTATTGGAGATTGAACTCTGAGCCTCACACATACTAGACAAGTGCTCTACCATTTCTCTATATCCCTAGCAAGTATGCGTTTAATTACAAAAGAGGGAGTTAGAGAAGAAAATAAACAGAAGTTTAAGACATCCTGAATAGAACACACACTGCTTTTGTAAGCTACATTGAGATATTCGTAAATTGATTTTTTAATTTTTTATTTTTTGGGGGGGTATTGGGGATCAAACTCATGCTTTGCAGGCAGCTAAATTGATTTTAGTAATAGAAATAAGCTCAGTGGATAGAAAATTCTTTGTAGACTTAGAAAATCTTTGTGATGTTTTGTTTTGAGACTGGGTCTCACTGTGTAGTTCAGGATGGCTTTGAACTCACAGCATTCCTCCTGCCTCCTGGCATGACAGGAATGTATCACACATGCACACACATCCTATTGGTATCTTGTTTCTACAGGAGAAAATCTTTTGGGGATTTATTTCTTATGAACATATTATAATTTGAGGCATGCCTGCACTAAGTGAGTTCAGAGACAACTACATAGTAAGACCCTGTCTCAAAAAATAAATAAAGTACTTGCTTTGGCAGCACATATACTAAAATTGGAATGATACAGTGAAGATTAGCTTGGCCCCTGCGCAAGGATGACACGCTAAGTATAAACAAACACTGCTGATGGGTTCTGAGTAAAGAGAAAAATCAAAAAACGAAGAGGAGGGAGGAGGGCTGGGGATTTAGTTTAGCAGCATAAGCACCGCCTGGCAAGTGCAAGGTCATGAGTTCAATCCCCTGTACCGAGAAAGCAAAAAAAAAGGACCAAAAAAGACTTAGGGATATAGCTAAGGATAGTACATTGTGTGCGTAAAATGGCTGGGCCCCTGGGTGTGAGACCTAGCACAATGAGTGGGGAAAAACCTATAGAATTGAGCACTGTGATTCATGGCTCTTAGGGAGACTGAGGGTAGATAATCAAATGTTTGAGTCTGCCCAAAGAATTCACTGAGAGCTTGTCTCAGAGTGAAAATAAAATTAAAAGGTTGAAAAATAAAGATCAGTAGTGAAATGCCCTGAATTCAATCTCCAGTAATGGGGGAAAAAATTATGGGAGAGCCCGAAGAAGCGTGTTTCTGTTATTGATGTGGCCCATGTTCTTTGTTGTTTTTTTGTTTTGTTTTTGTTTGTGTTTGTTGGGTACTAGGGATCGAACTCACGATCTTGTGCTTAGCAGACAAGCTTTTGAGTCACTGAGCTAAATCTCTGGCTCTCTTGGTTGATATTAATACAAACAATGAGAGTAGTATAAAAAATGTTAAGAGGGCCTGGAGATTTAGCTCAGCAGTGCAAGTGCTTGCCTGGTAAGTGTGAGGTTGTGAGTTTGATTCTTGGTACCTCCCCTTAAAATGTTACAGAGGAAAAAAGTAAGTTGGGGTTAATTTTAGTGGAGTTTCAAGTGTTAAGTATCAGTTTATCAGTTGCTAGAAGGCTAGAGAATGTCTTCTAGTGACTAATACCTTCAGTAATGAAGGCCAAAAAGATATTTTAGGTAGCGTAACTTAATGTAAGAAATATGTTCTTCCTCTATTCCATTCCATTTATTTATTTATTTAGTGCTAGTGATTGAACTCAGGATCTTTTGTGTCCTAAGCACATAGTCTGTCACCAAGCTAGACTTTGGTTTTTTTTTTTTTTTTTTTAATTTAAAGAAAAGGAAACAAAAGAATATATGGAGATTTTAAAAAAGGGTAGAAATGATACAAACTTACAGAAAAACAAACGGTAAGAAATTGCTGGTTGATGAGTTACACATTGTCATCTTAGAAGAAGTAGCTGTTCATGTTATGGAATTAAAGCATTTAGAATGACATTCATAAAGTGACACTACAAACCCTTCTGCTCTATGATCGAACAAGAGTTCAGTAACATGGTTGTCCTACACATTTGTTTTACTTCTCAAAGAGGGTAAGATTAAACATATCAAAACAGAATATAGCAGTTAAAAAAACAATTTAAAAAAATACAGATTTCATAGCAAGTAGACTTTGTTTTTTTTGTCTTTTTCCTTTTTATCAGTACCAGGGATCGAACTCACGACTGCCTGCTTGCAAGACAGGCGCTTATGCCGCTGAGCTAAATCCCCAACCCCCTGAGCTAGACTTTGAATGGCTCATATTCCTATTTGTTTTTTCTTTAAACCAAGTCCTTTGCTCTGAGCTACATCCTTAGCCCTTTTTAAAAATTTTGAGACCGGCATTCTCTATACCATCTGCACTAGACTTCTGATCCTCCGCTATACCCTTCTGAGGAGCTGAAATTAGAGGTGTTACCTAGCTGTCCCTCTGTTCTCCTTTCTTCTCTTTCCCCCTTTCTTTCCTCTCCTCTTTCTTACCCTCCCCTCTTTTTTTTGTCTTCCCTCCCCTCTTTTACCTCCCTGCTTCCTCCCATTTTTCCTTGTCTTCTCTCCCCCTCCCTTTTTCTTTCTTCCCTTCCTTCCCCTCTCCCCTCCTTACCTCTCTCTTCCTCTCTCTGTTTCTGAGACAGTATTTCCCTATATAGTCCAGGCTGGCCTTGAATTTGTTATGTATCCCAGCCTGGCCTCCAGTCAGAGCTTCCAGTCAGAGCTTCCAAGTGCTGGGATTACAGGTGTGCCCTGCCACACTCAGCTGTTTTTCTTTTTGTGCTCTAATTGCCTTAAATATTAAAGAAATGTAAGAATCCTGTTGACATACATATTTTTCTATTCCTGGTAAATCAGACTCATAATTGGTTTTGGTTTGTTTGTTTGTTTATTTGTTTGTTTTTTTTTGGAGACAGTTTCACTGTGCAGTTCAGGCTGGTCTTGTGCTCCCTTTGTAGCTCAGGCTGGTCTTGAAGTCTCAAAGATCCTCCTGCCTCAGCCTCCTGAGTGCTGGGATTATAGGAAAAGATCCTCCTGCCTCAGCCTCTTGAGTGTGGGGATTATAGGTGTGAACCACCACACCTGCTGTCATAACTGTTTGGTTTTTTTTTTTTTGTCTTTTTCGTTTTTTATTGGTACCAGGGATCGAACTCACGACTGTCTGCTTGCATGGCAGGCGCTTATGCCACTGAGCTACATCCCCAGCCCCTGTCATAACTGTTAAGAAGCACAGAAGTTGATAGTTTTTCCTGCAATAAACTACAGAATGGTAATTCAGACAGACTGTACTACGCTTCATATTGAAATTAATATATTTAGTAGACTAGTGTCAGAAAAAGATGCTAAAACTGTGAGATGGTAAATTTTTCATACATCACGTTACCATGCTTTTGTCTTGCATGCTTATTTCCTGTGATGCTTATAGTTCTTTTCAGACATTGAACTTTTTTTTGTCCTGTAGGAATCAAACCCAGCCTTGAGTATGGTAGCAAGTACTCCACGAGTGAATTGCATCCCCAAGGTTAAGCAGTTTTTTTTTTTTTTTTGGTACTGGAGAGCGAACTCATGACCTGGTGCCCCTGAGCTAAACCCCCCACCCTGTTAAGCAATTTTAAAGAAAAAACTTCATGGCTATACTGAGACTTGAAGCTGGGACACTCTAACATTGAGTGAATTTTCCAGTCCTGTTTTAATTTTTGGACAGGGTCTGGCTAAGTTGCCCAGGCTGGGCTTGAATTTGCAGTCCTCCTTCCTTACTTTCTTACTTCATGCTGTCATTATAGATGTATGCCACAAGGATGGGTAGAAAAAAGACTTTTATGAAGCCTTATGAAATGTGGAAAGGAGAATGAAAATTTTAATGTAGCATGATGAAAGACTTGGACACTTACTCATTCTGTTTATTCATTTAATTTAAATTTATTTATTTATTTATTTTTGGTGCTGGGGATCAAACTCATGACCTTGCTCTTGCCAGGCAGACACTTATTCTGCTGAGTTAAATCTCCTGCCCTTGTTTTTTATTTTTAAAACAGATTAGCCAATAGATGATTTTAAATTTGTTTTAAGGAAAGCAGACCTTGTATTGCCCTAACTAAAAATATTTGTTATTTCTAAATGAAACTTTAGTATTTAATGTGCAGTAATTAGGCAGCGCTCATCAAAAGCAACTTCTGTTCCCTCAAAATATTTTATGTTACACCAATTTTGAAAAAGCAGTTTTGCTAGGCATGGTAATTCTAGCACTTAGAGGTGGATTAAGGAAGATCACCGTGAATTCAAGACCAGCCTGGGCCACATAGAGCAATACACTGTCTCAAAAACAGCAAAAAAGCAGTTTTAAGTGGCATGATACTCCATACCTCTAAGGCTGAGGCAGGAAGATCACAACTTTGTACCCAGGTAATTCAGTAAGACCCTACCTCAAAATAAAATGTTAGCGTGCAGGGGTGTGAGTCAGTTTGAAGGCCATTGTTTAAATCCTTAAACCCTCCTGCCCCCCAAAAAAAAGAGAAAAGAGAAAAAAAAGCAATTTTAGTGACTTCCAGTCATCTTATCTAGTTCAAACAGGTTGTTTTAAAACTTTTGTTTAAGCAAAGCTTTTTAAAACCATTTTTTTCCTCTATCTTTTTAAGCTGGTTTATTGCAGCCTCCTGTTCGTATAGTTTCTCAGCCACAGCCAGCACGAAGGTTAGATCCACCATCTAGATTTTCAGGAAGGAATGACAGAGGGGATCAAGTGCCTAACAGGAAAGATGATCGAAGGTATGTTTTAAAATATACTGCAGATGGTGGTCATTGCATAGGAAATGGGAATTTACTGACTATCACTGATCTGTACACTTACATGGTTAAAATATACTTGATGTGATGGTGCATGCTATAATCCCAGAATTTGAGAAATGGGGGTTTACTGCTAGTTCTGGACCAACCTAAACTATGTAGAGAGATTGTATATGTGGGGAGATGGTACCAGAAATTGAACTCAGAACCTTGTGCTTGTCAAGTAGGCACTGTGCCTCTGAGCTATGTGCCAGCCCTGTGAAAAAGTCAAAAAGGTAAATTTTATGTTTATATATGTGTATGACACACTTTTTTGCTGGCAGTCCTAGGGTTTGGACCCAGACCCTTTGTGCTGAGCTATATCTCCAGCTCTTTTTAATTTTTTTGGTTTTGTTACAGGGTTTTGCTAAGTCACTAAATTTCCCAGATTGAGCTCAACATGTGATCCTCCTGTCTCAGCCTCCTAGAGTGCTGGTATTACTGGTGTGCACCACCACCCCTGGTTATAACCACAGTTTTTAAGAAGTTAAACAGCTTTACTATGGAATTTTGCTTAAATTACCTATTACATTTGTTTTTTTAAAGAACTCTACCTTAATGCCAAAAATATAATAATGTTAGAAAAATTTGCTTTAAGTCGTGAACGAGAAAGAGAAAGACGTAGATCCAGAGAAAGATCTCCTCAGAGGAAGCGATCCCGGGAGAGATCACCCAGGAGAGAGAGAGAAAGATCACCTCGGAGAGTTCGCCGTGTTGTTCCACGTTATACTGTGCAGTTTTCCAAGTTTTCTTTAGATTGGTATGTTCTTTGTTTCCTCCTGTTGTTTAATTGGGTTATTATTTCATAATTCTGTGCAGTTTAGTATAAAGTATGCTCTCCTTGTGAATGTTTTTCTTGTGAAATTCATTTACTGATATTTATTGCTCTTTAAGGCCGTAAATGCAATTTGAGATCACAATTTAGTTTTCTACAGGGAGCATTATTTGCATAGACTGATTTAGGATACCAAGCATTGAAAAGTGAAGCCCTAGAGAAAATTCTTTTGTGATGAAACTTGTTCCTTAATGTTGACAGCATTAAGATGCAGATTTATTGATAACTCTTTAAGTGCATGAATGGGATGGAGCAGTAAGACAGCTTGAACCAGTTTCAATTTTAGCTGTGTTGATAAAGTGTAATGTCCAAACAGGCTTGTAAAGACTTTCAGACCTGTGTAATATGCATGTGTGTGTCCATGTATGTCTCTAATTACATTACTGAGCTTTTGGAATTGGTGGGTAAGGGTCAGGTTACCAGTAACTTCTAAGCATCATTGCTAAAAGCTCATAGGAACTTTCAAGATTAATGTGAGGTGCATGCATATTATAAAGCCCAATGTGTAACAGAGATACTCCATAGTGAATGGTGGTAGTAGTGGGTTGTGGTAGCAACCACTGTAAATAGTTTTAACAATGGAACCACCAACTTGGCAGTAAAATAAGAAAATCTTTAAAAGCGGTCTCAAAGGTTTTTAGTATGAGCCACAATTTGTGTAACTGCATTGTAGTGACCTGAGTGACTGAGTGTATTTCAACAGAACACAGTGTTAATATTCAGTCTAGATGTAGCATACACATGTATTTAAGTGCTGAGGAGAATCTTACCTGCTGACCTATGTAATTTTGTTTGCTTAATTAAAATTACACCAGCTGGTGTTCATTTACTCTTGATTTAGGTCAAATCAACAATTACTGTTTTTTTTTTTTTTTTTTTTTGTCTTTTTTTTCATTTTTACTGGTACCAGGGATCGAACTCACGACTGCCTGCTTGCAAGGCAGGTGCTTATGCCGCTGAGCTAAAGCCCCAGCCCCTAAATCAACAATTACTCTTAATTTTCAGTTTTTGTTATCTGTGTTTACTTTTACACTTAAAAATATCTAATCTAATTCCATTAGAATTAAAATCACTTTCCCCACTCCGAAGATACTATATAGAGAAGCTCTGATTGTTGTTTTCATTGCTTGACTTTAACAACTGAGCTACATACCCAGCTCTGTTACATTTTTTGTTTTGAAACAGGGTCTTGCTAAATTTTCTAGCATCAAACTTTTAAGTCCTCTTACTTAGCATCCTAGGATACTGGGGTTACACCTGTGGGCGACTGTGCCCAACTGAGAAACTCTAGTTTTTGAGTCATTTGTTCTCAATATTTAAGTATTATTCTGGGAGGAGTTGGACTCATTGCAAATAAAAATCATTTTAAAGTTTCCATGCCTTTTCTCATTTGTAGTTATGGAAATCAAGTTTCCTTATATTAGCTGGGAGCAGTGGCTTCTGTGGCCCTATCTCTTTGGGAGGCTGAGGTTGGGGGAATTGTGATTTTTGAGGCCAATGTAGCAATACTTCCATTTCAAAAGTGAAACAAATCATAAGAGCTGGTATGTCCAAGTAATGCTTTATTTATACTTACTTTTATTATAGATTTTATTTCTAGGGTGAAAATACAGTATTGGGAAACTATCATACACTTTTTGTCCTAAAAAAATGCAAAGTACATTTCTCATGTTTCTATCATTTTGATAGAATTTTATCCAAAATAAAGTATAGTTATACTAGCAATCACAAAGTATATCTGTATTTCTTTGGCTTTTTGTTGTTGGCATTTGAACCCAGGGCCTTGTGTATCCTAGGCAAATGCTTTACTACTGAGATGGCAACATTCTTCACATTTTTTATTTTTATGTGTATAAAGTATGCTCTCCTTGTGAAATTCATTTACTGGAAAAAGAAATCTCTACATATAGGTTAACTCAATTTTTTATTAAGTTTTTTGTTTTTGAGGTCAGTTTTGCAGTTGGGCTGGTCTTGAACTCATCAGCTCAAGAGACCCATGGCTTCAGGATGTCCAGGATATAGGTTTACACCACTGGCCCTGGCTTATAGATGTTATTGTGAAAGAGAATGTAGTTACCTTTTCATTTTACAAATTGCTGACATTTTCCACTTTAATATATTATGCTTTTGACAAGCATTCCTTGGCTTTTTTCTTTCCTTTTTAAAATTTGAGACAGGGTCGCATGTGTAGGTGAGGATACCCTTAGAACTCACTATATAGTCCAGGCTCAAAATTGAAACAATCTTCCTGCCTCAGCCTCCTGGTGCTGAGATTTTATTCATGTGTCATCATACTCAGCATTTCTTGGCTTTCTACCAAGTTGATTTGCCTTTGGATTTTTGTCCTGCTTCTTGGGGAAAAGGAGATGATTCTTTATACTACTACTTCCAAGCATGATGGTACTCACCTAAATCACAGCACTGTAGATGGCTAAGGCAGATGGAAAGTAAGTTTGACCCAGCTTAGCTATTTAGAAGACTTCTGTCTTAAAAATATTTAAGAGGGTCTAGAAATAAAATTTAGTGCAAAGGCCCTGGGTTAAAACCATTAATGAACTATATACAGACTTTTTTGGTTTGGGATTGAACTCATGACCTTGCGCTTTACAGGCAAGCACTTGAGCCACTGAGCTAAGTCCCCGGCTTATGAACTAAATAAATAATAAAATATCAGTGCCGGATTTAAAAGACAAAAGCCCTATTTTTTATTTACATAGTAATTGGATATAGGTCTTATGACATCCATCTAGAGGGGTATAGAGATGTGTAGGTAATCAAAAGACATTTAGATTTTGCTTTTGGTTTTTTTTTTTTTTTAACTGTTGTGGAAAGAAAGCTGAGTTTATTGGGGAAGGAAAGCCTCCGTGTTTTTGAGACAGTTTCATTATGCAGTTCAGGCTGGCATTGAGCTTACTTTGTAGTCCAGACTGGCCTCATTCACAGTGATTCTCCTGCTTCAGGCTCCCAAAGAAAACTTACCTAAGAGACAGAAGGGGTCCCAAGTGGCTTGCCCTCAAAGGAAGTTTTGCATTTAATTTTCAGTTTAAATATGCTTAATATATGTGTTTGCTGCAGAGTAACATTTTTAGTTTTTCTATGTTCTACTGTGCAAACCTGACTGAAGAGCACACATGTACTTATTTGGTACTATTCATCCCTTCTTGGTATATGTCTTATATGAAATATAATTTTCCAGGTTAGTAGTTCCAACTGGGACACAACTGCTTTTCAGATCTCTTCTGGACCTGGATTTTGAGTTACTTCATTTCAGAGGGTGTTTTCTAATGAATTGTAAGCTTCACCCAAGAGATAGAATAGTAAATGTAACACTTATTCAAAGCTGTGAGAGACTGGGGATATAGTTCATCAGCCTCGCAAGTTTGAGGCTGAGTTCAATTCCTGGTACCCCCTTCCTCAGATTAAAAGCTGTGAGTATACTAATATGAAAATAAGATCTTCATATGTCTGTCTACATGAAAATCTGTAGTGCATTATTAACTATAATGTCTAGCTTTCATTTTAAGAGAGTCAGGTTCTATATGTAGTTCCGAGTTCAGTGAATACTTGCATAACTTTTGATGTTAAGGCTGTTTATTCACTACTCATGTCTGTTTTTCAGCCGTAGTTGTGACATGATGGAACTAAGGCGCCGTTATCAGAATTTATACATACCTAGTGACTTTTTTGATGCTCAGTTTACATGGGTGGATGCTTTCCCTTTGTCAAGACCATTTCAGCTGGGAAATTACTGCAATTTCTATGTAATGCACAGAGAAGTAGAATCCTTAGAAAAAAACATGGCTGTTCTTGATCCTCCAGATGCTGACCACTTATATAGTGCAAAGGTTTGTATTCCACTGTGATATACAGCTTGCATTTCTTAGAGTTATTCAAATAGGATAAATAGATTTACTCTTTAGAAAGTGGTTATTAGATAATAGACCTGAGTACATCTTTTTTTCTTACCTATTTCTGTTTGAGCTATTTAATCTATCTTACCTCATAAGTCAAATAATGGCTATTGTTTTAATGTTTTAAATTTCATAAAAACTTGATATTATTGAATGCTATATAACTTCCTGTAGCCTCTGTTAAAACTTTCTGTTGAGAGAGGGATGCACTAAAGTTTTAGTCTTTAGGATAACATTCAATGTGTGGCTTACAGTCAGTAATTTCCAACCATTGAATAAGAAATCATCCCTTGTAAAGTTAAAAGTTTATAGGGTATCTAATCATGTTTTTCTTGCTATAGCACTTTATATTCCATTTTTATTTTTAAAAGTCTAATATGTAAGGTTAAATAGTAGCGCTTCTCATTTTCTTTACATTACTTTAGACTTTTGACAGGATTGAATTATTTGACTATAATAGGTAATGCTGATGGCTAGCCCTAGCATGGAAGATTTGTATCATAAATCATGTGCTCTTGCTGAAGACCCACAAGAACTTCGGGATGGATTTCAACATCCTGCTAGACTTGTTAAGGTAAAACGAAATGTTTATTTTGATTTTAGATGTATATTGATTTAGTTCTTACTGTGTGTACATAAAATTTTTTTAAAAATAATTTTTAATCTTGCCAATTTAGTAATTTGTACTCACAATTTCAATAATGCAGATGTTTTTCTCATTGCAGATTATCGCTATGTGTTACTTGTATATAACTAAATCAACTGTCAGTTTGATGTGTTAAATTTGTAATATGGTAAAAAATATTAGTGATGATGGGCTTTAGAGTATCTGGGTGCTGTTAAAGTTTCAATTATAGTTTATTTGTTTAAAAGAACTCTACTTTGAAGAAATATTTTAGAGGGATGAGTTATGATGTGTAAATCCTATTCCATTGCTGAAATGCAGTGTGGAACACGATGAACTGAACTCTTCCTTGACTGACAGATTCGAGAGGTAGTAAAAATGGTACTGGGAAGGTTTGTACCTTTCCCTTTCAAGTGTTTATTTGTAATTTAATCAGTTACAAGATATATGGAAATGATTCTATGTTTTGAATCTTTTTGAATCAGTTTTTAGTGGGCATGAAAGGCAAGGATGAAGCCATGGCCATTGGAGGCCACTGGTCTCCTTCGCTGGATGGACCAGACCCAGAAAAGGATCCTTCTGTGTTGATTAAGACTGCTATTCGTTGTTGTAAGGCTCTGACAGGCATTGATCTAAGTGTTTGCACACAATGGTAAGCACCGGTTTGTTTCTTCTTTAGAAATGTTTTTCTAATAGATTATGTAGCTATTCTTGTCAATCAGTCTTTCCCCATACTTTTAACAATCCTGGTTGTGCAGGTAATCTCAAAGGAAAATCCCCATTTGTAGTAAAAGTTTATTTGGTGCCCAGATTGTTTGGGGAGAAAAAAAGAATAAAGAAACTAATCAAAATAAATTGAAAACTTACATGTTCTGTTATGCTGTACTTTGGAACTTGGATGTATGTTGAAAAACTTTTCATTTCATGTATAGCTGGAGAAGATCGTCAAGAGAGAACTTCATTTCATTATATATCTTTTGTTATAAAATAATATAGTTGCTGATTATTTTTGTTCAGCCATATTTTCTCTTGAGGCTTATTTATCCTATGCATTTTAGTATATAGTGTTTCTTGTGACTTAATGGAGAATATTCTTTTTTAGCACATGAAATCTGAACAGCTATCCAGCTTTTCCAGGTATTCTCTAAAACATGGGTAGCTCTGTAATCAAAGTTGAAGATGCCTTGTGGAACATATTCCTTTAACCAATAAAATATTCTACAAATGTACCAAAAGAGGAACTATGGCTTCTATAATTTTTTTTTTTTTAGACCAACTTCAAGTTCTTGCAGCAAAATTTCTTTACTTGATGTGCTACAAGTGAACTAGGGTCTTTTAAATGTATTTTAGAATTTTTTTTCCAACATGCTTCTTCCCTTGCAACAGGTACCGTTTTGCAGAGATTCGCTACCATCGCCCTGAGGAGACCCACAAGGGGCGTACAGTTCCAGCTCATGTGGAGACAGTGGTTTTATTTTTCCCGGATGTTTGGCATTGCCTTCCCACCCGCTCAGAGTGGGAAACCCTCTCCCGAGGATACAAGCAGCAGCTGGTGGAGAAGCTTCAGGGTGAACGCAAGGAGGCTGATGGAGAACAGGCACTGAACGCTAATCCCTTTTCTATTCCCGCTTCTCACAGGCACAGGAACACAGGCACAATGCACACCACACACTACACAGCACACACACACGGAGGAGCATAGCTGCTCACAGCGACTGGTAACCAGCTTTCAGCAGAATAGTTGTATGTTCTTCTCTCTTAAAAAGCCTGTCTATTATGCTGACTTTAAGAGTGCTGAGACCTCAAAGGAAAATAAGGTGTGCTTAAATTGCACAGAACTTTGTTTTTACCATAGGTCTAGTTGCTGGAATCTGGGACCAGTTGTTGAACAAGATTCAGTATTAAGCCATTGAAACATTTTGCCATTTTCTGAAATTTAAAAAATTTTCTTTTTCACGGTCATCAGTTCTAGTCATGGATATTTGAAATTGGACAACCACAAGTCTGAGAGATTGGAAATTTCAGGCTATGTGGCAACGTCTTTGGTACATTTCAAAGGTCTGACTAAATCAGTATTGGGGTGGCTTGAAAATTGGGGCAAGATCACACACTGTGTGGTTAGTGGAGACCGGCAGTGTTTGTGCATCCCTGATATCCTTTGTGTTGTAATTTATGACCCTTTTGTGTTTCACAGATCTGGCTTTGATTGGCTGATGAGTGTCTTTGTGATCAGTTAAAAGTGGTAGAATGTATGTCCGTGGACTTGCCTAAATAATAACTTTAGGAGAAGACAATCTGAAACATTTGTGACCTTGCACAGATCAGCAACAGACTTTTAAAAATAAATTACTTTTATTTAAAGGTTTCAGAATAGTAATTATGCTCTTAACTTTAAATATTAGGATGAAGAAGAGAAGGATGATGGTGAAGCTAAAGAGATTTCCACACCTACTCATTGGTCTAAGCTGGATCCAAAGACAATGAAGGTAAACTTGAACATTAGGGTTTTTAATTTTTTTAAGTCTCTGAACAAGTATGAATAATATCAGCGAGAGTGAAAGTCTTAGTTTTTCAAATAAAAATCAATGAAGAGGTCCTGGAAATAGATTGTTTATCCAGCATGTTCAAAGCCCTGAATTCCTAGAGGAATGTAAAAAAAAAAGATCAAGATGGAGTCCATTGATGTTATGTTTTGTTGTTTTTTTTTTTTTGGTTTTTATTTTGTGTTACTTGGCATTGAATCTAGCAAACTACATTCATAGTCTGTTTTAATTTTTATTTTAAGACAGGGTCTTGCTAAATTGTCCAGGTTGAGCTAAAAAAGTCTATCTGCCTAACCTTCCCAGGGGTGGAATTACAGATGTGTGCTACTGCACCCAGTCATGTATTAGTTTTTGTAAATGTAAACATGAGTATATACACACACATCTTTCAATTACAAAAGGTGACTTTATAAATAATTTCAGCCAATAGCTATCAAGTGCATGCAATATGGAAGTGACTATAGTGACAGTAAAATTGTTTTCTGGTTTGCAAATATTCCAAAAAATCAGTACTTAAGTAATTTAAATTTATGGGTAAAAGAAATAAGAAAAAGGTAATATAAAAAAAGAAAAAGTAATATAGCTGGGCACTGTGGCACACATCTGGAATCCCAGTACTCAGGATACTGAACCAGGTGAATCACCCTGAGCTGAGGCCAGCCTGTGCCACATAGTTCAAGGCCAACCTGAGCTACCTAGTGAGACCTAGTTTCAAAACACAACAACAAAGAAAGAATGAAAAAGTAATCCAATTTTTAGAATACATTTAGAAGTATAAAATATGACAGACATTTAAGAATCTCTAAAAGATCTGGTTAACTCATAGTATTTCTTTCCAGTGCCTCTGTGCCAGTTATCTTTATGCAATTTTGCATCTCTGGGACTAATATGTGACTGTAGGTAACAAGGTCAGAAGACCTGAGTGTGAGGCAAAGCAAAGAGTGATGGTACACCTGTGTAATTCCAGTGCTTGGGAGGCTAAGGTAGGAAGAGCATGAGTTTGAAGGCAGTCTAGGCAGACTGCAGTGGCGAGACTGCCGCCTATACAAAACAAAAACTAGAGGATCATAAGTTGCTTTTGTTTTTGTTTTTGTTTTTGTTTTGCTCTTGTTGTTGGGTTTTTTTGTTTGTTTTTTAAGATACTCCCTGTGTAGTCTAGGCCAGCCTTAAGCTCCTGTGTAACCCACACCAGGCTTGAATGTGTGGAAATCGTCCTATCTCAGCCTCTAAAGTACTGGAATTACAGGCTTGCACTGCCATGGCTAGCTACAGTTAATCAAACATTTAAAAACTGACCTTTTGGTTAACTTTTGTTTTCAGCAGGAAAAACCTTTTGGGTTTTTGTTTTGTTTTGTTTTTTTCTGGGTGAGACAGTTCTCACTGTGTTACCCTGCCTGGCCTTAAACTCAAGGGCTCAGGTGATCCTATGAACTGACATCCCAAGTTGCTGCTGTTATAGTCCATCCCGCCATACTTGGCTAATTGAACCTTTGATTCTTTTTGTTTTGTTCTATTTTTTGAGATAGAATTTTGTTATATAGTCTGGGCAGGCTGGCCTCAAAACCAACTGCTGTTCCCTTCCCTCCAACTCTAGATGCTTGTGTCCACCCAGCTGAACCTTTGACTCTTTAAAACTATATTCCTGCTGTGCATGGTAACACGCATCTGTAAGCATTTGGGTGCCTGAAGCAGGAGGATCGCCACAAGTTCAAGGGCTGCCTATGTAGGCTATATAAGTAGTGAAACCCTGATTGCTTTTTAATAAGTAGAGAAATGTATATTAGATGAATGTTTCTTTCTGGGTTACTTCCAAATTTTAAACATCAGGTTTCATTTAAAATGCTTGTGATTCAGGGGCTGGGGATTTAGCTCAGCGGCATAAGCGCCTGCCTTGCAAGCAGGCAGTCGTGAGTTCGATCCCCGTACCGATAAAAAAGAAAAAGACACACACAAAAAAAATGCTTGTGATTCAGAGAATATAGCAGTTAGAGTAAGATTTTGCCATTACATTTGTTTGTTTTAGTACTGGGAATCAAACTCCAGACTCATGCTTGCCAGGCAGTTGCTATGTCACTGAGCTAAATCTCTGGCCCTTTTTTTTTTTTTTTAAAGACAGGTTCTTGCTGTGTAGTTCACGCTGACCTTGAACTCACTATGTAACCCATGTAGGTCTCAAACTTGCAGTGGTCCTCTTGACTCAACCTCCAGAGTCCTGGGTTGGCCTACACTACCATGCCTGCCTGCCATTTGAAACTTTCATTTAGTTATATAGAGCTTCCTTACTTTTTAAATGGTATATGTAGAAAAGATGTTACTAAAACTTTTCATTAAACATGTCATTTGAAATTTTGATAGTTTCTTTCTTTTTTTCATAGTGGATTGAGACCAGACCTTAGTAAATTGACTGGTTGGGACTTGTATTTGAGATCCTACTTCCTCAATTTTGCTCATTGGTGGGATTACAGACAGTCAGTTCCATTTTCTTTTTTTACTAGGTAGAAGCTTTGGAATTGGTTGATGGACTTTATCATGTTGTATGCAAAACTTGGCATCTTAGCATTTTCAATTAACAGTAACATAAATCTTATAGTGTTCCATCTAGTAGGTACTATTCTTCATTGAGCATTCAGATTCTGTACTTTTTTGAAGGGAAGGTCTGTCAGATAAATCTATTTTTTTCCGACCCCTTCTGTTGACAGTGTTTCTTTTAATTAGATTCTCAGAAATCACACTTTGTGGGTCATTGCCTAGGGATTTAGGAGTGTAGATTAGTGGTAGAGTTTGCACAGCTCAGTCTATGCTATGAGTTCTAGCCTCATTAGCAATATTCAAAAAAAATTCTTGTTGGGTCAAAGAGTATTCTAAAATTTTAAGTACTTGGCAAGTGTGGAGACACATACTTGTAATCCCAGCATTCAGGAGGCTGAGACAGGAGGACTAGCTATGAGTTTGAGGCCAGCTTATGTTACATAGTGAGTTAAAGGCCAGCCAGAACTGTGCATACTGAGTTGTCTCAAAAACCCAAATCAGAACAATACAAAAATTTTAAACATCTCAAAACCAGTTTCAAATTGTTTTCCAAAAACGTTGTCATTTTCCATTTTCACAAGCATTGAGTGAACTGTACAAGGTTTTTTGTTTGTTTGTTTGAGACAGGGTCTCTATGCAGTTGGCTTTGAGCTTATGGTAGCCCAGGCTGATCTCGAACTTGCAACGATCCTCCTGCATCAGGCATGTTGGGATTACAGGCATGAGCATCATGCCCAACTCTGTACAAGTGTTTTTACCAAATTTTAAAGTCAAATTGTTATAGTTTGTTTACATGCCATTTTCTTTTTCTGTGTTTGTATGCTCTGTATATTTAGGTAAATGATCTCCGAAAAGAGTTAGAAAGTCGAGCTCTTAGTTCCAAAGGATTAAAATCCCAGTTAATAGCTCGGTTGACAAAACAACTTAAAGTAGAAGAACAAAAAGAAGAACAGAAGGAATTAGAGAGATCTGAGAAAGAAGAGGAAGAGGAGGATGATAGGAAGTCTGAAGATGATAAAGAGGTATATATTTAGCATTGAGATACTCTTAATATATTAATATTGCTAGATAGGGTCTTAGAATTTGATTTGTATATGTATAATTTTTATGGAAGTGTGATTTACATATAGTACAATTCAAACTTTTAGTAAGAATTCTGCAAGTTTGGTGGGTTTAAAAGTGTAACCACTTAACACAGCTGAGATACAGAACTTTTCTATGTAAAATACTCCAACTGAGTTGTGCTTATCCCTAAATTCTGCTTTTTGTGTTTTGTTGTGTATGTGTGATACTAGGGATTGCTAAATTGTCCAGCCTGGGTTGGAACTAGAGATCTTTCTACCTTAGCCTCTCAGAGTACTGGAATTACAGGCACCATGATTTCCTGAGAATCTTTTAGTTCATTATAATCTCAATATAGTTAAGTTTTTTCCCTTTGCTAAGCAGTGAATCCTTCCTTCCTTTTCTTTTCCTTCCCTACTCTTTCCCTCCTTCCTTTCATTTTCTTCTTGTCTACTACCTTTCCCTTCCCTCTTTCTTTTTCTCAGTTAATGTGTATTGAACCCAGGACACTGTACTACCACTGTGCCTCGGTACTTTCTTTTTCTTTTCTTTTCCTATTTTTTTTTTTTTTTCCCAACTCACAACCTCAAGCTTGGCAGGCAGGTGCTTATGCCACTGAGGAAATCCCTGGCCCTAAATTTTTATTTTGAGCTCAACTCTATGAAACTTGCCCATGCTGGCCTCACACTTGTGATCCTTTTGCTTTAGGCTCCCCAGTAGCGGCAATTACAAATCTTTGCCATCTTGTCCAACTGAAAGGCAGATAGGTTCTCATGCTTAGAAATCTAAAAGACAGTTATGATCTGGGCCTGTAATTGCCTTTTATACCTGCAGTACCAGGATGATTACTTGAGTTCCAGGCATTTGAGGTTAACCTGCGCAACATAGTGAGATCTACCCTTGAAAAAGAAAGAAAAAGAATACAAGGAAAACAAACTCAATACCTAAATAATTGTTTATTTGAGAAGAGAGTTGTGAGTCATAACAGTGCCTTCTTTCTTTATACAGTATTTTTTTTTTTTATTGGTACCAGGGATCGAACTCATGACCATGCACTTGCAAAGCAGGTACTTAGGCCGCTGAGCTAAATCTCCAGCCCCATATACAGTATGTTTTTGCTATATTGTACATAATAGTATACATGGAGTTCAACCATGATGTAAAATTTTAAATGTATAGGAAGAAGAGAGGAAACGCCAAGAGGAGATGGAACGCCAGCGTCGGGAAAGAAGATACATTTTGCCTGATGAACCAGCCATCGTTGTACATCCAAATTGGGCAGCAAAGAGTGGCAAGTTTGATTGTAGCATCATGTCTTTAAGTGTCCTTTTGGATTACAGATTAGAGGATAATAAAGAACATTCATTTGAGGTAATATTTTAAGTTTGAATTAGAATGTAGATAAGGTCTATATATTATTAGTGAATTTATCTTTTAAGTCCTTTTCTCTTTCATTGTTCTCACTTGGTTTTTTTTCAAAATTAATTATTGACAGCAACATAAGGATTTTTGTCGTCTAAAATTACCTATCTGTAGGCTTGCTTTTTTTTTTTTTTTTTTTTTTTTTTTGTCTTTTTTGAGAAAGGGTATCACTATGCAGTTTAGTTTGCAATCCTGCTTCAACTTCCCGAATGGTTAGAGTAACTAAAATTGCAGGTGTCACTATACCCATCTCCTGATATTTTTAAATTTTATAAATCATATAAGATAGTTCATCGGTATAGTACCTGCCTGGCAAGCACAAGGTTCTGAGTTTGATTCTCAGTACCAAAATAAATAAATCACGTAAGATAAATTAGTTGTGTTTCTTGATCCAGGAGCCATTGTGTACCAAATAGTAAGAAAATGAATAACTGGCCTCACATATAGATAGCAAACTCAAGGCCAGATTGGGCTACTTAATCATGACCCTGTCCCAAAATACAACTTAAAAACAACAACAAAAAGAAGTCTAGGAGTGTAACTTAGTGGCAGAGTTCTTATCCATGATGAACAAATTCTTGTATTCTGTCACTGGTGGAGCAAACAAGTGCATGTTTATCAGTTGTGATATAAAACATATTACAAATGTTTAACTATGTCTGGTTTTTTTTTTATATACTAATAATCTCAGCAAGCAAATGTCCTTAAACATTAGATATTTTTTGTTTCTCTTTTTGAAACAGGGTTTCACTATGCAGTTTGGGCTGGCCTCAAACTCACAATGATCTACTTGCCTTAGCCTCCTGAGTGCTTGTATTACAGACATACAGCCAACATTAGATACTTTCATCATTTTGCTTTTTTTTGTTAACAGTTAACGTAGTTATTAAACTCCTAATAGTACCTGGCATGTAGTGTCATAGTCTTTCCAGATAATAGTAAAAAAGATGGTTAGATAATAGTAAATAAGATCATAATAAATAAGATCATAGATAAGATATGTATGTTGCTAATCTAATCAGTATCACTTATCTAATAGATCTTATACCACTCTGGCTAAAAATTGCAATTTTTGAAACTGCACTTCGTTGGTAAAATGAATTTTCTTTCTTTCCTCCTAACATTGCTGTGGTTAATTTTGTTGTTTTGTTTTGTTTCCCTGTGCTTGGAGTTGCACCCAGAATCTTCACTTGAACTATATTCCAAGCCTTTTTTTGTTTGTTTGGTTTTTTTGTCTTTTTGAGATGGTCTCGCTGTGCAGTTCAGGCTGGCCTTGAGCTCACTTTGTAGCCTAGGCTGGTCTTGAACTTGCAACAATCTTCCTGCCTCAGCTTCCCGAGTGCTGGGATTATAGGCTTGAGCCACCATGCCTGGCACCACCTTTTTTTTATTTTGAGTCAAGCTATACCTGAGTCACTAAGTTGGCCATGTGATGATCAGACTTGTGATCCTCCTGGCTCTGCCTCCAAGAGTGCTGGGATTAAGGCATACGCCATATTTTTAGGTAGTTTTATTTTTATTTAATATTTGAATACAGAAGTCATTTTGATACATGAACTCAAAGCAAATAATTATTTCATAAAAAGTTATTTTCCCAAGAAGAAAATAACTATTTAACACACCATATATCTTCAGTTTTGGTGTATGTGTTGTTGAGTGAACATTTGTGTATCCTCTTGGGTATTTTATTTTATTTTATTTTTGTGATGCTGGGGATCAAATCCAGAGTCTTGCACATGCAAGGCAAGAATGCTACCATTGAGCCATATGCCCAGCTTATTTTCAAAGTAGAATATAAGACATAAAACAGATCATTCTGTGATTGAGGCAATAAATCATAAAAATTAATTTTGGCTCATTTACTATTGATAGTAGATATATCTTAAATTTACAGTAAATATAAGTAAAAATATGTAAAACCTGTTGTTTTCAGTCTCTAGATAATGAAAAAGACGCAATTAGAGTAAAGATGTCTCAAACAAATGGTAATTTAGTTTACATAAATGTTTAAGAGAGTAGATATGGCACATCTTTTTTTTTTTCTTTTTGTCTTTTTCCTTTGTATCGGTACCAGGGATCGAACTCACGATTGCCTGTTTGCAAGGCAGGTGCTTATGCCTCTGAGCTAAATCCCCAGCCCCAATAAAGTTAATTATAATAAATTGCACTACCCATTATGATCAGGAAGCTTAATAATCAGTGTTGTGTCAGGTAGTACTAAATAAACATTTTAGAGCTTTGGTTAACCATTTCAAGTTAGGGTCACTTTTAACTAAGAATCCATTGATGGCTGAGTGTGGTGACAAAATGCTTGAGGTGGGGAGGTAGGAGGATGATTGAGGAAGGTATGTGCCACACAGGGAAACTTGTCTTCAAATTACAAAACAAGTCTTTTTTTTTTTTTTTTTTTTTTTTTTTTAAATAAAACAAGTCTTGAAAGCAGTGGATCTTGGTGGGTGAAATATTTACACAGGAAATTTAGTATATCATTTTTCATTCACAAATTTTGTGTAGCTCATTATTGTGGGTCACTGAATAATAATAATGTGTACTGTGTACTTCGGGCTTTGAATTATTTTCCCTTCATGAAGTGTTACTCTCCTAGATATCTCTGTATGGCCCTTTGTTTTCCTGTCTTGTGTCACTTTTTAAATCTTTGCTGGTCGAAGATTTATTTGACTTTTTTTTTTTGGTACTGGGGATCAAACTCATGACCTTGTGTTTGCCAGCTTAGGCCACTGAGCTAAATCCTCAGCCTGTTTGACTGGTCTCATACATCAATTCTCTTTATGTTACTTCTTATATACTGATTGGGTTATTTACTTTTGTCCACTAAGTTTTAGTTTTATTTTGTTTCCTCCCCCCCACCCTTTTTTTTTTTTTTTTGGTACTGGGAATTGAACTCATGACCTCGTGTTTGCCTGGCACTTAAACTGCTGAGCTAAACTCCCAGCCCTGTCTACTATATTTCAAACTGCATGAAAGGAAGATTCTTGGTTGGTTGATTGGTTGGTTTTAATTTACGTTATTTATTTATTTATTTATTTTAGACAACTGTGTAGCCTATGCTGACCTCAAACGCAGCAGTCCTCTTGCCTCAGCCTCCTGAATGTTGGGATTGCAGCCATGCACCACCACACATTGCTTGTTGTGTTTTTAGATCAGTTTTTTCATTATTGTGTCCCCAGTACTTAGAGTAGTTCCTGGTAAAAGAAGGCTTTTGATTAAAGACTTGTGGAGTCAGTGAATAAAGTGTATTTGTTGAAAAAGTTACTGGTTTTGTTTGGGTGGTATAGAAATTTCTTTTTCTATTTACTTCCACACTTTCTATTTTGGTGCCATTACGTTTTATTGTTTTGACCAAATTATATCTTCAAAACTTCTTTTAGAATTTTGAGTATTTCAGCATAGCTGGTGTCAATTATTATAACTATTGTAAAACTACATTAATATTGTTAGGTGTGGTAAATTTTTATCTGATAAGTTATGCTGGATTTATTATTTTTGGGTTAATGTTGATATCTTTTTATAGGTTTCATTGTTTGCAGAACTTTTCAATGAAATGCTTCAAAGAGATTTTGGTGTGAGAATATACAAATCATTATTATCTCTGCCTGAGAAAGAGGACAAAAAAGAAAAGGATAAGAAAACCAAAAAAGATGAGAGAAAGGATAAGAAAGAAGAAAAAGATGATGAAACTGATGAACCAAAACCCAAACGAAGAAAATCAGGAGATGATAAGGATAAAAAAGAAGATAAAGATGAAAGGAAGGTCTGTAGTGATTATATGATAAACATTATTCATGTTTTGTTTTACAGTGTCCTGGACTGTAAAAACAATGTTTTCTCCATGAGAATAGTAAAATATGAAGACCAACGTGCAATGAAGTGTTTGTATTATTAGAAATTTGTTTTTTTAAGTATTAACAGTTCGGCTGGGCATGGTGGTACAATCCTGCAATCCCAGCTCTCAGGAGGTGGAGACGGGAGGATGAGCTCAAATTCAAGACCACCGTGGGCTACAAAGTGAGCCCAAGGCCAGCCTGAATTGCATAGTGAGACCCTGTCTGAAAAAGACAGAATGAAATGAAATTAAATAAATTTAGAGTTCAGAATTTTTTCAACTGAGTAAATTTAGTGGATTTAAATGTTTTCTTCCAGTTTTATTTGGTGAGCTACCTTACTTCATTTAATGGTATTTTACATTACAGAAAGAAGATAAAAGAAAAGATGATTCTAAAGATGATGATGAAACTGAAGAAGATAATAATCAGGATGAGTATGACCCAATGGAAGCAGAAGAAGCTGAGGATGAGGAGGATGGTAGGACTCAAATTTACATAGTACTCCCTAGGATTGAGAAAATTGTTTTGCTTCCTGCATATATTTCACTATATAAACAAAATCAAACAATTTGTGGCCCTTTGTGATTAGCTTTATTCACTTGACATGTTAGCAAATTTGTGGGGTTTTAGTATTTTTTTTCTTTAATTTTTTTAATTTTTTTTATTTTAACCTCTCAAGTTTCACCAAATTCAGTCTTTCCAGAATGTCCATTAAGACCCTTTCTTGTTTTTGTTTTTGTCTTTTTGAGACTAGATCTTGCTTTGTAGTTCAGGCTGGCCTTGGGTTCACTTTGTAATGCAGGCTAGTCTTGAACTTGCAACAATCCTCCTACCTCAGCCTCCTGAGTACTCTCAAGCTTTTATAAAATATATTAGGAGAAAAATTTTGTTTTAGCAGCCATACATGGTAGTACAAGCCTGTATCCCAGCACTCAGGATGTAGAGCAGGAGGAGTGCTACAAGTTCAAGGCCAGCTATCTGTCCATTTTTTATTTTGAAATGCGATTTCCCTAAGTGTTGCTGCCCACACTGGACCTGAATTTGTTATCCTCCTCCTTCAGCCTCCGTAGTAGCTAGCATTATTAGCATGTGCCACTAACTATTGTTATTTATAATTTCTTCTGGATTTTGGATGATTTTTGTAATTCTTTCATGAACATTCAAAGTTGGTGGTTGTTGTTTTCATTGGTACTTTGCTTTGCTGTTCCCTTCTGTTCTGTCTCTTTTCTCCCCTCTCCCTTCTGTCTTCCCTCCAATCCTCCTCTCTTCTCTCATCTCCTCCTCTCTCCTCTCTCTCTATCCTCTCTTCTTTTCTTTTTGTTTCTTCCAGTAGTACAGATTAAACTTCAGACTGAACTATAGCCCCCAAATCTTGAGAGTATGTCAGAGTTACCATATTGCCTAGGCTGGACATGAGTCTTTTTACCATAACGTCTCAGAATCTTAGAATTATAGTCATGCTCAACTCAAAGCTACTTTTACTCATACATTTCTTGTTGTTTCATCATGTGGAAGATATTTTTGTTTGTTTTTTGAGTAGAAGAGTAGTTTCAGGTTTCTACAATAGTTCTCAATACTTGTATTTTTCTTTTTTTTTTTTTTGGTGCTAATGGGGACAATATTTGTATTAAAGAGTTTTTGATAGCTGACAATGGTAGCATATATCTGTAATATTAGCACCTGGGAAGCTGAGGAAGAAGGACTGCCACACATTTGGGGCCAGCCTAAATTATAGAACAAGATCCTGTCTCAAAAAAAAAAAAAAAAAATCACCCCCCAAAAAGAATTTCTGTATATAACACTTATTTTACAGATCGGGATGAGGAAGAAATGAACAAACGGGATGACAAACGAGATATCAATAGGTATTGCAAAGAGAAGCCCTCTAAAGATAAGGTATTTAGTGAATACTGTAATGTACTCTTTATAAAACGTATAATTTTTCCGGTTTGGTAGTGCACTCCTGTAATCACAGCACTTGGAAGGATTGCTATGAGTTCATGGGCAGCCTGGGCTACAAAGTGAGTTCAAGACTACCCTGAACTGCATAGTGTGACCTTGTCTCAAGAAACAAACAAACAAAAGTAATTTCTTGTATTATTATATATTACTTATAATTATATATTAATATATAATGTGAATGTATTTTAGGCCTAATGTAGTCATGAAGTTTAGTAGTCCTAGTGTCTTGTGTTACCAGTAAGCAAAATTCACTCAACTGTTCTTTAGTATTTGTGCAAGTGGCAGATAACTAATAATTCTGAGTTTTTCTCCCATATTGACATACACAGCCAGTTTGTTTTAGTGAAGATAAGGCAAATAATCATTTTAAGAATTATTGCTGATATGTAGAGAGTTTTGTTTTTCAGTGGTAAAGACAAATTGTATGTCTTCTGTATTTCATTTAGGAAAAAGAAAAGACTCAGATGATCACAATTAACAGGGACCTCCTAATGGCCTTTGTTTATTTTGATCAAAGTCATTGTGGATACCTTCTTGAAAAGGATTTGGAAGAAATACTCTATACTCTTGGACTGCATCTTTCTCGAGCTCAGGTAACCCGTTCTGTAAATCTAAAATGACAGCAGTGTTTGTGACCTTTCCTTTTTTATCCCCCCCCCCCACAAGAGTTTGCAAATGCTGTGGAGGTCCTATAGTGAGCTACATCCCCAGTTCTTCAGCTTTGTAAAAGCAAACAATCCAGGCTGACTGTTAAATAGTCACACAATACTAAGCTTACATAAATGTGTAAGGTAAAAATATTAGAAGTTCCTTCTCCCTCTTGCTCTGGTTCTGCTACTCAGAACTAAAATATTACCATTTAGATCTTGTAAACAATAGCCCCCCTCTTTTGGAAAGGTAGTATTGGTGATAACATTTAGAGTCTTCCTGCTAAGCTACAGCCCTTTTTAAATTTAGAGAGAGGGTCTCACTAAGTGGTCCAGGCTGGACTCAAACTTATAATCTTCCGACCTCAGCCTTCCAAGGTGTTGGTATTAGAAGGATGTTGCACTACACTTAGCTGATTGTTTTCTGGTGTTGGGTTGGGTTGGGTTGGGCTGGGTTTGTTACTGGGAATTGAACTCAGGCCCTTTAGCCTGACAGCCAGTCACTGTGCTGCTAAGCTACATTCCTGGTCCCTATTCCCTTTTTATAAAACATGAGATTGTTCCATATGTATTGATGCTTCCTTTTTTATTCATATTATAACCTAGAAATTCTGCCATGACAATATACATCTACCGTATTCTTTTCATTACTGCTTAGTGTTCCATTATACGTTTGAACAATCATTCACTTAGCTTCTCATTATCTGTATTTTTTGCTTTTTGGAATTATAAATCATTCTATAATAAACATCCTTTTACATTTATTTTAATGTGATTTTTTCCCCCTTCATGATATTTTTATATTTGTAAAGAAATGATTGCTTTGAGTAGCAAATTGATACCTGAGAAAGATTTCCATGGATAATTCATTATGAAAATTAGAATACAGTTTTGTAGGAGAATTAAAAATGATGTTTATCTTATTAATGTGCTTACTTGTATAATAGGTAAAGAAACTTCTTAATAAAGTAGTACTCCGTGAATCTTGCTTTTATCGGAAATTAACAGATACATCAAAAGATGAAGAAAATCATGAAGAGTCTGAGTCTTTGCAGGAGGATATGCTAGGTTTGAGTATATTTCATTCTTTGGGGTTTTTTTTTTAAATATATAAATATATTATTAGTTAAAGAAGAGAAATACCTTTCTAAAATGTAGTATCGTTTCTGTTGTAGGCAACAGGTTATTACTTCCAACACCAACAGTAAAACAAGAATTAAAGGATATAGAAGAAAATGTAGGACTTATTGTGTATAATGGTGCCATGGTAGATGTGGGAAGTCTCTTGCAAAAATTGGAAAAGAGTGAAAAAGTGAGAGCTGAAGTAGAACAGAAGCTACAGTTACTAGAAGAGAAAACAGGTGAGGCACAGCGTTGGGTGTGTTAATACTTTAAGGCTTTCTGGGGAGCCTGATGTGGTGGTATGTGACTAGAATCCCAGCTACTTGGAAAGCTGAGGCTGGAAGATGATCGGTTTGAGACCAGCCCAGGCAACATAACAAGAACCTGTTTGTAGCTTGTTTAGCATGTATGAGATCCAGAGTTTAAGCCCCAGTGATACTAAAGTAAGACTCTGTGTGCGTGTTTAGTCATACGTTAAATTTTAGTCTAGATAGCATGTAACTACTTATGATTTCTGTTCCATATAATAAAATTGGCTTAGCCTTATAAGAATCTTAGCTATTCATGAACATTTCTGTGTTCATTTGTTATTTTATTACATCCTTTCAAATCTCTTCTAGAACCTCTTAGTTTTTACTAGTTTTTTGTTTGGTTTTTGGAGACAGGATCTCATTGTACAGTTCAGGCTGGACTTGAGTTCACTGTGTAGCTCAGACTGGCCTTGAACTTCCAGTTATCCTCCTGCCTCAGGCTCCCAAGTGCAGCTATTACAGTTATGGGCCAACACACCTGGCTACCAGTTTGTGTTTCCTCTAGCGTATATAGTCACCTAAAAATGCAAACTGTGTTTACCCATACAATAATAGTACTTAAGACTTATATTTAAAAAAAAAGAAAAGAAAAGACTTATATTTTGCTGGAAGTGGTGGCACAGGCCTATAATCCTAGCACTTGAGAGACTCAAGCAAGAGGGTCAGTGTGAGTTCAAGACCATCCTGGGTTGCAAAGTTAGTTGAAGGTCAGCCTATATTATATAGTGAAACCCTGTCTGAAAATAAAAAGAGACTTACATTTTAGTGAAATTAATATGAATTGTATTGTGCTTTTTGAATAAGAAAATTGGTTTTATCTGCTTTTTTTCATAGCTTTTAAAATTTTGTTTTTTCAGTCAAGGTCTCTTTATGTAATCTAGACTGTGTAAGCCAGTTCACCTCAGACTTGTGAGCTTCCTGCTTCAGCTTGCTGAGTGTTTGATTGGGATTATAGGAGTGTGCCACTGCACCTGGCTGTAGTTTAGATACATAAATCTCAAAGTTAAATGGAAATTCTAGGCCCAAAATGATGTGATTTCATTTTTTTTAATAGATGAAGATGAAAAAACAATATTAAATTTGGAAATTTCTAATAAAAGCCTCTCTAGTGAACTCAGAGAAGTTAAAAAGGACCTTAGTCAGTCACAAGAAAACTTAAAGGTTTCAGAAAACATGAATTTGCAGTTTGAAAACCAACTGAATAAGACAATCAGAAACTTATCTACAGTCATGGATGAAATCCACACTGTTCTCAAGAAGGTGAGTCTTTTTTGTGCCTGGGATTGAACTCACAACCTCACCCATGCCAGGCAGGTGCTTGTGCCACTTAGATAAATCCCCAGCCCAAGAAAGTAAGAAATTTTGTATTCTAAATATTTTTTAGTTTATTTAAATTCTAAAATGTTTCTGACCATTTTAATATTACTGTGCTGTTTTAGTTGTTCCTAGAAACAGATGATGGCAGCATTCTATCCTTCCAGAAATTAGTCAAAAATAATTCTCAAATGATTGCATTGCCAAAACTTGCATGGCATGGCATGGCAGCATGTATTGCATGTACAGATTTCCTAAAGCAAATCTTGGGGTGGGGCGTAACTCAGCACGTGCTTAATGTGTGTGTGAGAAGGAACAAACAGATCACAAGTTCCTAAGCAGAGGGAAAGGTTTTACTTGTATTTCTTTCAGAACTGCTGAGTGGGTTTGAACTCAAGAAAGAGAAAAATAGGCCTTTCTTTTGTGTACGTGTAGTACATTTTTTGCAGTGCTGAGAATTTTTCTTTTAAAGTCATTTATTGTTAGAGAATTTAGGAAAAGTCTTTGGCACTAAGATATTATGATTAGTGGGCTGGGGATTTAGCTCAGTGGTATAAGCACCTGCCTGGTGAGCGCGACATTGTGAGTTCGATCACCGGTATCCCCCCAAAAAAAAATTATGATTAGTATATTTCTTTTGCTTATAACTGAAAAAATTTATTAACTATCTTGAAAGTAAAATTAAGAGACTCTAATAAAATGATTTTTCCGTATTTATTTTACAGGACAATATAAAGAATGAAGACAAAGATCAAAAATCCAAGGAGAATGGTGCAAGTGTATGATAAAATTCTTATAGTGATGAGGCGTGCTGTTAAATAATGTAATATATAAAAATCATGATACAAGAATGTTTGGTGGAGATGCATGTTTGATTTTAGTATAAATGCTAGTTCAAATGATGTATAAAGTTTTATGAATGTGCGTCTGCTTTTGAAAATTGCTTGTAATTTCTAGTGTTCAAATTTATTAAATTTGAGTGAACTATTTCACTCTTTGAGTGAAATAACTTTGCATTGCAAAATGTTTTAGGATGAACTTTGTTATAGTTTTAACCTCAATAAAGTTCATCAGTTTAATTGACAGTATTTAATTATCAAATGTCTTTTATTAGAATACCTAGAAAGTTTTGATTTTATTTATAGAATTATTAACTTTATTGTGTAGTCCATTTTTAAATTTTGAGCATAAATCATAAAATAGTATGCTGCTTTATGTTTCGCAAATTTTTTGAGTCAGTGTTTTTTTGTCACCAAAAAATTCCCTCTTAATTATCAGTATCTAAAAGCATTTATTAAAAACTCAGTTCAGGGGCTAGGGATTTAGCTCAGGCAGTCGTGAGTTCGATCCCCGGTACCAATAAAAAGGAAAAAGCCAAAAAAAAAAAAAAATTTAGTTCAAGAGCTAGGCATAGTGGTGCACGCCTGTAATCCCAGTTGTGCACTTGGGAGGCTGAGGCAGGGGGATCTCTGCAAATTTGAGGCCAGCTTAAACTACGTAGTGAGACCCCATTTCAAAAAAAAAGTTCAGTTCATGTAAAAGATAGTATATCAAAAACTAAAAGCAATAAACAAGTAGAATTATTATGTTTGTTAGGCTTTACATTAAATTAATATCATGCTTTCATTTAATCATTCTACTTTCCCAAAATGGTATCTATATTTTAATTTTGAATGTCTTTTTTTTAAGTGCAGTGTATGTCAGATGTACAGTTTATGCCAGTAGATGTCAGTATGATCCCTTAAGTATTCTTTATTTGAAAGTAATTTTTTTTATTAAGCTGCATACTTCCTTCAGAATTGTAGTGGATGCTTCACTGTTGATTACAAAGTTGGGGTGTCATGCTTTGCGACAGGTGTTGTTGGTAGGTGAATTTATTCTTCAAAGGACTGTTGGTATTCAAGAAGTTTTCAGGTTATGGATGGGTGTGTAATGCTGGCAGTTAGTTGCTAGAGGCCTAGGGTGTTGTTGAATTTCCTGTGCTGCCTAGGTCAGTTTCCCTATAACAAGGAATCATTGAGCCCCAAGTTCCAGTAAGGACCAGTTTGAGAAACTGTGCTATAAAGGAATATAGGACTCAGTGACACTGATTATCAGGTTAGTAGTGAAAATTTCATTGTATCTGTAGCAAAGATTTTTTTTTTTGTCTCAATGGAATGTTTACTGTCATAAAAAGATGTGCAGCATTCAAGAGACTGAGACAGGCCAGTTCAAGGCCTGTTAGGGCTACATAATTTAGTTCAATCAAGGTCAGCCTGCACTACATAGTGAGACCCTACTTAAGGGGTAAAGAAAAAAAGTTCTGTGTTACAGTTTGCTTTCATTTTATTTTACTTCTGTTTATGTTGATACAGTAATGGCCTGATGTTCTAAATAAATGAATATGAGGATATAAATTCCATGTTTCTTGTGACTTAAGCTAAATGGAATCTATGACTCTTATTAAGAAATAGATTAAAATATCTTCAATTCTTTCAGACCATAATCTTAAATTGATATTTCTGCTCTTAGAGTTTAACTCCATAGTTATATATTTATTATGTGAATGTTTGTCTTTAAAGGAAAATGAAACATTGTAGTTTTTAAAAGTATGTTTTCTCAAGGGAAAAATGAGTACTGAGGTTTGAACTCAGGGCCTTGAGTATGTTAAGTAAGTGTTCTACTTACAAGAAATTTCCACACTCTTTTTGAAACACTTGGTAAAACCACATTTGTGATCCTGCCACCTTAGCCTTCTGCAGGCATGTACCACTGTACCCAGCTGAAGATAAACTTCTAAGTAAAGGAGTGTTAATAGTGTTCCTTAGAAGATATCTTTGTTCTTCTTGTTTTTGGAACATAGAGTCTTGTTGTATAGCTCAGGCTGCCCTTGAACTTACTTTGTAGCCCAGACCTAATATCAAACTTAGGTGATCCTCCTGCTTCAGCCTCTTGATTACTGGGGTTACAGGCATGCCTCATGCCTGGCCAACCACAAAGAGTGTATGTGTTTCAGTCAAGTCGAGTCTTGTCTTGTCTTTTTCTTTTCTTTTGTTTCAGATAGTATCTTGCTGTGTTGTCCAGGCTGACCTCAAATTCATGGTGATCCTCCTACCTTAGCCTCTGAAAGCTGGAATTACAGGTGTATGCCATCATGCCTGTCTTTAGAAAGAGTATATTTGTAAATTGAAATGGTTAGGGCTGGGAATATGACTCAGTGGTAGAATACTTGGGTAATTCTTCGAGTTCCGTCGTTAGTCAGAGAGAGTCCATACACTGAAAGTTATCTGGAAGTATTAATTTTCCCAACTAATTTTTGTATATTGTGGTACTAGGGATCCAACTCATAATTGTTAACCACTAAGCTATATCTCAGCCCTTACTTCGTTGTTGACTGTTACTGTTTTTATTCATTGTTTTTGTCATTTTGTTTTATTTTTGGTGTCCACTAGCCACTAAAGCATTTGAAGAAAACATATATTACGCATTTATAACAAACGGTAAAGTTTTGATTTTGTTTTGAGGTTGTACTCAAGAGTAAATCCAAGCATGGTAGACAAGTACTCTTGCCACTATGCTATATATTAACCCTCATTTTATTTTTATTTAAAAGTCTCACTAAATTGCTAAGACAGTCACTGGGACTATGGGCATGCTTTTCTTTCACGGTTTCTAAATGGTAACTATTGATAATTCCAACTGAATCATTGACAATTCCAGCAGGAAATACCTATGTTCAGGTCAGTCTTCATGACTTTTTCCTGATCCAGGTGATAGGTGGCCCTTGAAACTTCTTGGAGGCTGAATTCTCTCCCCTAGCTAGTTAAATCATGTAAATACCACCTAGAATTTGTCAGTTTACTCTAGAGGGACTGTAGGTTTTGTTTAAGAATTTACTGACTCTGAAAGACATTCAAAATATTCTGGCAGTTGTACCAAGCTGTGTAGAAAAGATACCCTTCTCTCCTTCCTTGTAAAGTACATGGTGGTCTTCCTGCCTCAGCCTCATAATGGGATTACAGGCACACGCCACCATACCTTCCTTATAGTTAATTTATTTCTCTTTTGTGTGTTCTTGTTTTTAGTTTTTGGTTTGGTTTGATTTGAGATAGGTCTTACTAGGCAAGCTGTCCTTTACTAAGTAGCCCAGGCCAGCCTCAAACTCATAATTTCCCTGCCTCAGACCCCTGAATGCTGAGATTACAGGCCTTTGCCACCATTCCTGGACAGTTTTTTTTTTTTTAAAGGCTCTTTCTTTTTTTTCTTTCTTTGTTTTTTTCTTTTTTTATCGGTACTGGGGATCGAACTCACAACTGCCTGCTTGCAAGGCAGGTGCTTATGCCGCTGAGCTAAATCCCCAGCCCCTTAAGGCTTTTTTCATGTTTAGCTCTTGGTTGCCGGAGCTCTCCAGTAATAGAAAATAGGGGTCCCAAAGTTAAAGCTATGATTCATAAGCTTGTTTGTTCAGATATCCCTCAGAACTCTTATCAGTGAACTTCCAGTCTGTAAATATAACTAATGTTCATAAAAAGTCCATGTGTTTTCTTTAGGAAATCTAAGGTGTTATAAATCTGTGTGCACTGAAGAAATTTTGTTAATGCAACATGAGTAAATCAACACTGGTAGCAAGTCTTATTATAGGCTTGAGGAAACTAGTTTTTGGTTTAAGGCTCATTAGATTTTTTTTATCCTATATTTTTTAAGGATATTTTTAACATCTGTGCCTAATGAAGAAATTTGAGTTTTAAAACTATTTTGGGGACTTTGGGTATAGCTTAGTGGTAAGACACACGTGATTACCTTGCACAAAGCCTAGGTTTAAACACCCTAACACCAAAAAATACATAGTATGTATATTTTCAGCATCTTGAAGTCTAGGATTAGAGGCCTTGGTTGCCTTTCCCTGTTTGGCTCTTGGTGTTGTGCAGTGTTGTGAGAACAGATAGCTTTCCACTTCACCAACTTGGGAGCCCATGTACCCTAGACCTAACATCAAAAGATGCCATGTACTATAATTGCTTCAGTTTTTCTCCTTTATTGCACCAGTACTACTTTCATTAGTAACGTGGTGAAAGGATGCCTGTTCTAACTTACCAAATTTGAGATGAATTTAAATTCAAAGTTAACTTTTTCTACTGTTCTCCCTTTTTGTATATTAACATATATTTGTATTTTCATGCCCTTGGCCCTGAAAGTTCTCTGAGCTCCAAAGTAAGGTGCAGATTTTGCTTGTGTTTATAAATATGCTCAGTTCCACCCAGAGTATAGTTGATACTGTAGAGTCCCTCTAGCAGTTCAAGCAAAGGAAGCTTCATAAACTAGACTGAACAACTTTAAATGTGATAAATCGAAAGTCATTTAAATAAAAGTTATTGAAACGCTGATTGTCCAAGTTCAGGAATCCTATGTTTAAAGAAGCTACAGGGGCTCAGGGGTGTGACTAGTGGTGTCCTTGCCTAGGACTAGGTTCAATCCTTAGCATTCCAAAAAGTGAGGAAAAAAATTATAATGATTAATTTACATGCTGTGCTTCTTGATCACTCTAAATTCTAGATTCAGAATAACTTGAAAACATAAACTTGTTTTGAGACTAATTTGCTGTGACAGATTCTTCTTTGCAAGATCATAGTAGAATTTAGAAGATAGATAGCAGTTAGTAATCAAAACATCGGCAAAGGACTGAGGGTCAGCACAGTGGCATAAGAGCCTGCCTTGCAAGCACTAGGTCATGTGTTTGATCCCTGGTACCAAACAGTTGGTCATGTTATTTTCCCTGTCATAAGGGCAAGAAAATACCATGAAGAGAATCTTCTTTCCTTGACCTTGGTGATATGGACCTGTGTCCCAGCAACTAGGGAGACTGAGGCAGAAAGACTGCAAGTTTGAGTCCTGCCTGGATAACTTAGTGAGACTCGGTCTCAGAAAATTTCTAACAGCTGGGAAAGTAGCTCAGTGGTCACCTAGGATGCACTTGGCCTGGATTCAGTCCCCAGTAATAGAAAAAAATTTTTCTTTCTTTGTGGTTACCAGATGGCAAGGGGTTTAATATTTTACATCATCTGACTTTAGTAAAATTACTAGTCTCTTTCCTAGTTGAATCTGTCTTTCCAGTCTTATAGATTGTTTCCAAATGCAGCTTATCTTTTTCTCTCTACCTTTTTACTTTACCACAGGCAGGGAAAAAACAAATCTACTTTTAACACATAAGGAATTAATATTTAATAGTCATTCATTTCCTTTCTTAAATAAATAAACCTGTTGTAGGCTAGCACCTGGCCACACAAAGACCCTTTGCTGTTTCTGGTTAAAACGTAAATACTTAATTAGAGGAAAATCTTCTTTGAGTCATTATTCCGTAAGGCATTAGGTATACTTGCCTTGGGCCACACTTTTGCTAGTTCTCAATGCCATCTATTACCTGTTTGCAGATACAGAATACATTTACCTGGCTTCTTTATGATGTTTCCAAGAGATGAGTGTTTAACCTTTGAGCTATTTCCAGAAGAGATCCAGCCAACCAACCATCACTATAAAAAGTTGAATTTAGGATAAAATGAGATTCCTCCCATTCTAACCTCTATAATTATTTCTTTTAATGGCTTGGTTTGGCTTTTAGTTGCCTGAGATATTCAATAGCCTGCAAATAATTCCTTGCTTTCTCTTACATTCAGCCATAATTTCATTTTAAATTGTTAAAGATGTAGTGGATGTGATCATGTAGACCCACGGTCCCAGCACTAGGCAAGCTGAGGGAGGAAGTTCACAAATGCAGGGCGAGGCCTGACTGGGTAACTTGGTGAGACCCTATCTCAAAATTTTGAAAATTTGAAAAAAAAAAATTAAGAATGGGTTGTAAGCATAACCTCAAGATTCTTTAATAGATATTATTTAGCTACAAGCTAGCACATGCCTGTAATGCCAGCACTCAAAAGGCTGAGGAAGGATCTCATATCTGAGCCCAACCTGGGCAAATTAGTAACTGATTGAGACCCTCACCTCAAAATGTAAAAAAAGAGCTGGGATATAACTCAGTGCAAAGGCCCTGGGTTCAATTCCCAGTATTGGGTAGGTGGGGAACAACCAAAATCAACAGTAAAACTGGAGATTTTTTGCAGCTTATACAGTTAGAAAGCAGTCATAAGAGATTAACTTGTTAGCTAGGTGTGGTGTTGCATGCCCATAATCCCAGCTCTAGGTTTTCATTTATTTTTGGGAGGGGAGAAGTGGGTACTGGGAATTGAACTCAAGACCTTGTCCTTGCCAGGCAGGCATTTATGCCTATATCCCCAGCAATCCTAGCATTTGGGAGGCTGACACAGGAGGATCTGTGAGTTTGAGACCATCCTGGGCTAAATAATGAGTTCAAGAGCATTCTGAAATATACATTAAGACCGTATCAAAAAACAAAAACTTGGAA